TGTTTATGGTCCTGATGAGGTTCATACCAAACAAGCTGGACATCTGAGCCGAAAAAAAACAAAGAATGTGCTCCAAATATTTATCAGGCGTTTCATGCATTTTAGCAAGTGAGCGTTTCTTCTTGTATGCCATCTATTAAGGTTCATGTTATTCAATGTCCTTCGCTCTGTTTGAGCTGTCACAGGACCTCCAATTTCCTTTGATAACCCTGTGCTGAGAGTAAAGTTCTTTTCTGTCTGTTGTGCTAAATTGTACAAATAGAGCACTGTCCGTGGGGTCATGAGACCCTGTGTTTTCAGTGTATTTTTTTGATTAGAGAAAATGCTGTACCTGTCAATGTAGAAATAATGCAATTAAAAAGAGGTGAAGTAATTTAAAATCACTTGACGTTTAAGTGATTATGCACAGGGGTGTGGTGACTTGTCTTGTATAACGTATATTGGGCAAAACAATAGTCTGTAAAAGATGCCTAATTCCAGTAAAAGCTGCCAGTGTGACTGCAATGAAGAATAAGCAATTGCCACAGTTATAGCATGAGAAAAAAAACAAAACATACTCATGGTCATCGAGCAAATTGTAATTTTAAAAAATCCGAACCCTCTGACCTCATGCATTGCACCTGATATCGCGCGTGGATGTGCATGGGGCAAATAATCCACGTGTACAGGGGCTCTCTCAGTGTCTGAGGTGGTTATGCATGAATGAATCCGTGAGGAATGTTAACATAAAAGTAACCTTTGTCTGAATGACCCAATCTCATTACTTTCACAGATTGAGCAATGTTAAGTAACCCAAGTCTAAAAATAGATTCGCGTCCTAAAATTACCTACTGGAATATCGACCCTCTCCAGTGTCAGAACAGCCTGCGCCGTAGCTTTTAACTTGCAGTACAGCTGTCCATAAATATTTGAATGTGATGTAAATGTGCTGTCAGTGTAGAGTCAACACTTGTGCTTGTTGCTTGACAATAAGACTAACAAACAGAATACTTTTACTGTGTAAGAAGCTGCAAGAAGTGGTGATATAACTGATGTAGCAAAGTTTTTTTTTTTGCCATAACTTTTAAAATAATTTTTCTACAAGTAAATCAGTTTGGCAAAGCTTTTTCAAAAGTGCATTCATTTTGTTTTTATATCCTATAAAATATACTGTGTATTTCAAATGTACAGCACTGCATTTGAAACTGAGCTCCTGATGTCATCATTCAGTCGTGTCATGAAAGCCCTCCTTCTCTTGATATTTTACTTTTGAAATGAGAAAATCATCTGCAGACAGCTGTTTTAAAGAGAGCTGTTTTTTCAAGGACTCGTGAAATGTTCAAGGTATCATCTCATAAAGATGATTTATTTTTTAAAATTGCATTTAAACTTTTGGAGTGAAGCTCTGTATTCTTCAGGTTAGAACCAGACCCTGCTTTTTTTCTTTTTTCTTTTTTTTCCAAGTGTTGCTGGAAGCTAATCAGACACATCCACAGCCATCTTGATTGAATTTTCCCAGCAGGAAATTGATGTCATGTGGTGCAGTGGGGTTTGGCCTGAGGAATGTTCCCAAGATGAAACTTGGAAATACTTCTACTAGAAAGAAAGCCCTTTAGTCTTAGAGAGCTCCGTTAGCTGGACAACACCCACCTGGATAGCATCGTAAAATGGTCATTTATTGACATATGCACGGTGTTGAAACAGACTATATAATGCAGATAGAATTAAGTTCAATTTGGGTCTGTAATAGAAGACAGTTTCATGTTTCCTCACATGCTTCAAGCCCACAGGAATTTAGCGATCTAAACTTTCGTGAAACAGAGCCATGAGTGAAAGCTGCTGTATTAACCACTGTGCTGTGCTCTCTCTGCAGGTCCATTATATCTTGCAGGAGGTGGTGATGGGAGGCATGGTGCTGGAGACCAACATGAATGAGATCGTTGCTCAGGTGGAAGTGCAGAACCGCATGGAGAAGTCAGAGGTCAGACCTTTTCTACCCACATCAAAGACCACTTTAGCCATTTTAGCTCATAAACTACCACTTGTGCAAACTTCCCAGTAGTGGGGATCATTTTTTCTAAATGTAACATGTGTGATACATGTGATATGTTTCATTCACCTCCCCAGAACATCCTAGACCCTTTTCACTGTACTTTTAAAAGCAGACTTCAAGCTCATATCTTAGTCAAAAGTTTGTTTAGCAATTCAAACAGGTGGTTTGAGTTGATGTTGCATCCACTGATGCCTCATTTGTTAAAGAAACAGCCAACCAATCAGAGCCTTGTAGGAATAGGAGCATCACTTTCTGACACAACTACCTAGCTACATTCCTGAAAATTAGGAACAAGGTGGCGCTCTGGTAGCTCAACCGGATAAGATGGCTCCCCATGTACAAGGGCTGTAATCCCTGATGCAGTGGCCGCGGTTCAAGGCCAGCCAGCGGCTCATTTGCTGCATGTCCTTTCCCCGCTCTTCTTCCTATGTTTCCCTGTCTCTTCTCACTATCCTGTGCAATAAAGGCGAAAAGCCCAAGAAAATAATTAAAAAAACAAGAAGATTAAGAACAAGCATTAATACAAACATATGACACAGCTGTTTTTTTAATGATACAACTCGTAAGGTCCTTCATGCATTCTTCTGCCTTGTTGCATCCATGTATTTATCAAACACAACCGCTGTTTTTCAGACAAAAGGTTTTATGCAACTAATATTTCGTAGCACTTCCCAAGACTTGTACACAGATGAGACATTCACAGGTTCAAACGTTTGTTGAAAACCTACCTGAAGTACCAACAGTCAGAACTACTTTAAATGAAAGAAGATGATACCACATGCACTTGACTCCATTTCAATTCACTTGGATATTGGACTTACTGATAACCAAACCCATGACCTGGATGACTGAGAATCTTCACAGACATGTTGCTACACATGTCAAACTGGAAAGACCATCACTTAACAGAGGTGGAGTTCTCAGGCAACACCTGTCACCTGTTTACAGTTCACTCCTAAGATCTCTCCCCAGGAAGATGAAACTGCATTCACACCGAGCCACAAAAGACCCCAACGAAGCCCATTGTGGCAGAGAGAGTCCTAACGACTCACATAATGAGTTGGAGGTGCAACAAACCCCCCAGTTGAACCTGAAACTCAAGTGTTAATGACTCCTAAAGAATGTAAGTATCTGGAACTCCCAACTAGTCAGTCAGAACTGATGAAGCCTCTTGGATGAGAGGTGAAACGTCTTCAAGAAACTCAAGCAAGTCCAGTTGCTTAAACTACGAGAATAACCATGACCTGGATGACTGAGAATCTTCACAGACAAACCAAGGACCCCTAGCAGTAAAGCAAAACCCTACTCTAGCAGATTGGGATCAAAAGACTCTAGACTAGGACTGAGTGGACCTCTACTCTACTTTTAGGTCCAAAATCTGCAGATTCCCCCTTTAAATCGGCATATTTCCCTTATGTATGAACACATTCACTGCATTCATGAATAAAGCGGTTATCAGTCTCTGTCTCAGGAGTTTACCCCATATGTCATCACAACAGCTTTAAGGATGATGCGATATCTTAAAGATTCCAGCAGAAGCTTTAAAGGCTGTTTTTCCATGTTTACTCTGTGCAGGGAGGTCTGTCGGCAGCCCCTGCCCGCGCCGTCTCTGCCGTGAAGAACATGAACCTGCCCGAGATTCCCCGCAACATCAACATCGGAGACATCAATATCAAAGTGCCGAGCCTCTCCCCGTTCTGAGTGGCATTCCCGCTGAGCTCTGCAGGGCTGGTGCACTACTGATGCAGTCCTCCTCCACCCAGCTCTGTGGTTGATACTGAGAACACTGTTTTTGCTTTATATAAATGTACAACAGAACCACAGCAGCTGGCTGTCCTCTTCATTCTTATCTCACAGGTATGGGACATAAGCTGTGGATTATTTTTGAGTTCTGCTGTATACATGTTACAGAGTACTCCAGTTAAACAATTTGCACAATAATGTAAAGTTCAATTCTATAAAGCATCAAGAGTAACATGATTATCTATATATTTTCTGCTTTTCTGTCTGTTTTTTTTTTTTTTAATGTCTCTAGTTTGATTTCCTAACTCTTTGCAAAAGACAAATGAACTGTCATGGCCCAGTGTGTATTTTCCTGCACAACTACCCCAAATCTCTGAGGTTCATCGGCGGTTGTTCTGAATAAGTTTTGAAAACATTCCCTCCTGTCTGGAGTCAGTTTTTGGACTCTGTTCAGCTCGCTGTAATGTGATTCCTTGGCTTCTGTTTTTGGCTATAATTACTCAAACACTGGCTTGGTTCTTGTCGCAATTAATTTTTCCTTCTCTGTAATATATTTAGTCTCTGACATCTTTGTGATTTGTGAATAATATTATTGTTCTCCCGAGGGCAGATTGTGCAGAAAATGTAAATGCTGTTTAGTTCAAGCCAAGTTTTAATGTGCTGTGATAGGATCTTGCCAACATCTGTTCAGAGAAGCAACAAACTACAATTAGTTTGGCCTTCTTTGAATTCTTTGAGTGTTTGTATAAAGTGTATTTGTGTCTTATTGACTGTATGTAGTGGTCAGATATGATTAAATTCAGACTCTGTTGGTAGAGTTTTATCATGAAATCCTGTCAAGACTTTTATGAAAGGAGATGTGTCCTGGTGTCAAAGACATTCCTTTGCCAAGGTAAATTAAATAAAGTATATATCAGCATGGCTGTGCTTTCTTCAACTCAATGACAAACTTGCTGCTTGTCAGAAGGTAAGCTGAGTCACTGTGACTGTGGTCAACCGGCATCGTGTGAAACTTTCATCAGAATGGTCAGAACACTCTGTACCTCTGGGAATCAGAGTTCTTACTGCTCCACCACAATGCTGTCTTGTTGATATAGCCGCATTCTTTCAGTCCCCCTTCCACCTAATGTAGGGATTTTGGGGGATTGGGAAGCTGTTCCCTCCCTACGTCCCCAGGAAAAACCTGTGGTAGCTCTCGCCACCTCCCACTTCTAACCTCACAGATGCCGAGTGCCAGTGTTTCACATCAGCCAGGGATCTTTCCAGCTCAACTTCTGCGTCTCGTGCACGTAAATCAGGGCAGTGGACAACCAGCCACACAGGGTTCGGTATGTACTGTTTTTTCTCATGATTGATGTAAATCTAACCAAGATGTTGCATGCGGAATCATTCTTTTTGATGCATTTAAGCTGCGTCTTCCTCCACAGCAAAGGTAGTGCCTGTGTGTAAGTTTTACTGCTCTTGCCATCTGGCGAAATGTTGCATAGCTTTTTTTTTTACCCACACTGAAGGTTCCTGAGAATTAGTCTACAACAAAAATGTTATTCTGCATGAATGCATCATAAACAAAATATATCCACTCAGACTAATCAAGATTATTGGCATATAAAGTACACAGAAAGCAGAGAGCTGAGTCTATTTTTTGCCTTTCTTTCTCTCAATCCTCTATTTCCAGTTATACTGGTTTCACCTGATGTGACAAGTCTACATAAAACTATCACTCTGTGGTTTGCAAGTACACAACAGTTGTGTATTGCCTGTTGCTCAACAAGGAAATCCGTCATTGTGTGCTTAAGTTTAGCTTCTGGTTGTGCTGCAGATTTAAAGGTGTCTGTCAACATTGAGCGGGGGCTGCACTGGATGTAAACCGTGCAGCTGCAACAGCTGGCTGTATCTTATCTGTACAGTGGTGGAGGCTGAGGCTACACAGAGTTGATAGCGTGGGTCACAGGTTCATGAGCAGGTAGAATGATAGTGCCAGCATGTGTGCATTGCTGCTAAATAGTGTTTTACCTTCACGTTCTTTAGATAAGTTGACTGGCAACAGAAAATGTGGAAAAAAATAGTAGAGGGCAAAGAGTGAAAGGGGAGGTGGATGACGCAATGAAAATGAGTGTCTTATGCTGGATTTACCAGATGTTAGCAGGCGTGTGCAAAAAGCAGAACACTGTGCTGGTGTCCGTATGATTTAAACTGCACAAGTAGCATATATATACATGTGCACGTGACTACTGCACAGAACATTTTGACTTATGAATAACATGATAAACTCAGGTTCTCATTCAGGTTTTCAGCAACGATACACAGCACTTGCAGGGAACTAAAGAGGTTCTAATTACACTACGGAAAAGTTGTGGTCACGTGGTTCCTTTGTTGTCAATTTATTACTCCATAAAAATATGTGACTTTGAGCCCCCAAGATAAACATTCCTGCCCCCAAGATTATCCCGCTCCCTGCTGGAAACAGGAAAATGCTCTATTTGTTTGGCTTCTGTTATTTACAGAGACATTGGGGGAATTAGAAACATTTATCTAACACACAGCTGATTAATTACCTCCACTTGCTTGTTAACTCTTACTTGTACTGATTTACATTCATTCTGACTTTTTGTGCATGGAACACAATTATTATGGTCTTATTTGATATTGAATTATATTCTATATATAGTACAAAGTATTACCTATTGAGGTGTGCCTAATTTTAGCTGCTATAAGTGTAGCTAATTGTTTTATTTAGCAAATATTTTCTAACGGATGGGATGACAGCCCTACGCATGAAATTGTGCTACTAGCTGTTTGGTTAAAACCTACTAAAGATCTTAATGTGACTTTTCATGTGTAAAACTGTATGAAAATATTCTGCCATAGATATGTATATAATGTGTATTTATCTAGCTAACTAACCCAACAGCTAAAGTATTGTAACTTCAAGCAAACACTAGTGTGTGACATGGCAGCCGCTAGCATGAGCTAAAGGGAGCAAAAGCTAGTATTTCTTTATCTGTAAATGAAAAATATCTATTTTGATAAATTCACATACTTAAAATTCATTTTGTTATTATACATAATTAAACAAGGCAGTGGTTTTGTTCAGCATTGAGGGTAAAGCAAAGAAACAGCTGAACATCAGCTAAAGCTAACTAGCTTAGCAAACCTTTGTAGCTACTATCTTAGCTCAACTTCATGTCATATAGTGTGGTTAAGCTCTTTTTAAATCATATCCCTAATGGATTACATAGTTTATGGTATAGTGTTTGATATAATTGTGAATGGTAGCAGACTAACTGTAAAGGACAAAAAAGACTTAGTGTTCTAAAACATTTTCACATAGCTTATTCAAAAAGGATTACAAATACATCGTGTTTGTATTCTGCACTTTCTTCTTGTATTTCCGGCGGATGACCAGCTACATACACTTTTTTGTGTAGATAACTGAGTAAAATTTTCAGTCTAAGATGTGTAAATAGAAGACAATCTTTCTACTGGGTGCAATCCTAAAACCTGAAAAATGTAACCCCCCCACCCTCCTGCCTCAACCATAATGCTTCTGTATTTACGGCACTTTGCCTTGGGGAAGAGTAGTGCACTGTATTACATAGAATTCCAAGAAATTATGGAAAAAGTAATGGCCAAATAGTTCTTTCTTGGTATTCAGGCACACTGCAGAGCAGAAGCACAGACAGCAGAGAATGTGTTTTGTGTAATAGAGAGATCACAAAATGGCCATGTATGTGTGGTCTTGGCTTGTAGAAAGCTCATCACATTCACATGCATCATTTCCAGATGTTGTACCTGTGGCGTGCTGAGTTGACATAACAATTCTGTGGTGGATCTTTGCGCGTGTGTGTGTGTGAGGAACCCTCTGATCCTTTCAGCGATAGCGTCTTTCCCTACATAAATAAATCAGTAAAGTTGTAGATAATGCTGATAAGATGTGCCTTATTACTGCTGGTAGACAATTTGCTAGATTATGCTGTTCATTTATTACTTTCTCACATTGGTATCAAACAATAATAATGACTTTATGTTTTATAGAAACACAAGTATCAGATTTTTATTTTGAAAAAACTTTGCCACACAGGCGAAACAATAGCTACATATGTATGTAGATAAAGTACAAATTGATGCATAAAAATTCACCATGATAAAGAAAATAAAGTGTTTTTTCCCCAAACTCTACAATTAATATGTTCCCCCCAAATGTTCAAACAAAACCTCCATACACACTGTCTGATCTACAGAAAGTAGAAGCTGAAACACCAAGGCTGGATGGAAGTATAAGATAGGAAGGATACTTTAGCCTATCTTTGGTGATACAGGTCACCATTGCAATGCATTATGGGTTGTAGATAAACCTTCAGTTGAGTAATTTTTAGTTACCTGTAGGTGTGAGAACAGAAGACATACCTGTATGGGATTTTACACAAAAGGAACTACTTGTAATAAGGAACATTTTATAAATTGTGGGTTTAATATTTATTTTCTCAATGGTTTATACATCAATAAGTAATTATTGTTTGTTAGTCATTATTAAATTAACTTCAGTTATTTATTTGTTGATCCAACTGCTCTATATTTCTTAAATTGTTCCTAGGGGACAACTACAGTTTTTTGAACAGAAAAATGGAATTGAATTAATAGCGCAATGTCTAATGAAACATAAAGAATCAATTTACCTAATCTACAGCTTCTTTGGTCTTACATAAGTTTTTTTTTTAGATCTTCACATCAGGTGCTTTGTAAGAGCTGCAACACATTCTGGCTTCAATCTACTTCTTTAAATGGACATTTTCAGCTTTAGTGCTGGTGGTTTATTTGCCAGTCAGAAAGCCATGACTATTCATTAATCACTTACTAGCATTTATGACACCAGATGTAATAGCTTATCAGGACGTAAGTTACTGCTAAAAGGTCAGTCTCTAACAGGAGTGTGAGACTTTTAAGCGCAGCTCTCAGTCTTCCTCGGCAGATAAAGGTGGCTCAGCCGTCATCACGTGAAGACTATTAGACTTCAGTAAAGGTCCAGGTCAGGAACACACTTTCACTCACAACTTTGACATTGTTTTTCCTCCACAAAAGTGATACAAAATGCTTCATCTTACAGTATAAACTCCCTGTACTGTGAATCCTTCAGATCCACATTTAAGTGAAAGTACGAATAGAACAATGTAAAAATACTCCGTAAGTACAGTAAAAGTCCTGCATTAAAAATCCTAATACAAGTACATACATTTTAGCTACAAAAAGTAGTTAAAGTATTAAAGTGAAAGTTCTGGTTTGATCCCTCTGACTGATATAATATGTACAACATTAGCATATTAATTGTGACGCACGAGTGTGTCCGCAGTATGTTGCTGCTGTAGCTGCTGGAAGTGGAGCTGCTTCAATCTCCATGTTTACATAAAGAGTCTGCAGATAATAAATAAATGAGGGTTCATGAGATGTAATGTATTTTAGAAGCTTGGTGCATTATCCAGCTTTAACTAACTGCATCTGTCAGATAAATGTAGTGGATTAGAAAGTGCCATATTGCCCTCTGTGTGGAAGTTTAAAGTACAAAATACTCAAAACAAGTTCCTCAAAACTGCACCAGCAAGTAGTTAAACATACTGAGTAATTTTCCACCACTGATATGATGATGGAAAACATAATATATATAGCCTGCCTAAATGACATATCATTTAATGACAGATAACCAGATGTGCTGACGTTACTGCTGTCACTGACAATTATAGGCGTTTCTCAAGTACTCCCACATGTACGTTATGATTATTAGGCCATGATGTCAAGGAAACACATGTACGTGCTATCAGATAGGACAGAGGAGGAGAATCTCTGAGTGGGGAAAAAAACGGCTCAGTCAGACTTTTGTACTGTAAGCAGTATAAGTCACAAGTGACACAGCATGCTCAGAGTTCATGTTTGTTAGTTCATCAGCAGATAGTAGCCATGTCGCATCCTTGTGCATCACTTTATCATTATCTTCCTGATAATGATAAAGTGACTCTGATATAGGATAATGATGATCTCACAACAAGGCCAAAGAAAATGTCACGGGTGAACTATCATGATTAAAATTTCTATTACCCTGCACTGCTTTTAATAGGAAATAGGTTTTCATTAAGAACAGCTGCTGGTATTACAGACAGTTTACTACAGAACTATGAGGTAATATTTGTTCACCATCAATTGTAACTGCTTCCTCCTCTACATTTATGATCTGATGTGTCACACTGGACTCTGTAACACGTCATGTAAAAAAAAGTCAAATTTAAGGGATTATCAAGGCGTGTCATGGAAGAAGATTGGTCATAAATGCTGCTTATCAATAACATAATTACCCAGAGTATATAGTTATATAATATCATACTGTGATCCGTGTTTTCCCGTGTAGAATATGATCGTTAACATGGCCTATTTCCTCCTGGATTTGTTTTTTTTCCTGTTGTATAATCCCTCCAGATACAGCCTAGTGTCCAGTCTCTAACCAAACACACACAGACATGTTAATGACAAATTCAAGTGAAAAATTCTGCCACTAGAAAATACACCACAATCCATATACTTATCACTGACAAAGAAGACAGTCCAATATTAAAAAGGAACACAACTAAATAATAGCTTTAATAACAACCTGTGGCATGGGGGAAGACCAAAGCAATAACAGAAGAGTCTTGAGCTTTTGTCTTCATATTGTTGATCCATCTTGGATCTCTAGAAATGCTGCAGGTGCTTTTTCACAATCTGTCCTGTTCTGTACGAAGAATGAAAGCACCGTGTTTAATAAGCAAAATTTGTCTTGGAAAGAAAAAAAAATGGAGTGTAAGCACATACTGTTAACACTACAAAGTATATGAATGCTTTTAATCTGCGTGTCTGTTTCCTTTTCAAGAGTTAGCTGAGAAGATTGTTGCCAGTCTCTATCCTAAGTCAACACTATCTGCCACCTCTGAAGCTTCCTGTGACCGTGAGGCCAGACCTTTAAAGTGGTCACTCTGCCAGGCCAAGAAATGTTACTGCTTTTTTAGAATGAATTACACAAACGTTGCATAACGTGCTCTGTGGTGAGCTGCTGGTAGACAGACTTTGTTACCTTCAGACAGGGCCGTAGCCATTGAGTCAACACTGGGGGGGACCAGATCTGCTGGGCTGTCTGGGGCTTCGAAATTTGCAAACTCACTCCTTTTACATTCTAAAATATTCAAATATTCACTATAAAGTGGGATGGCCTTATTTATTTTTCACAGTATGGCTTATTAAACTTTAATCTAGCTATTGCAGCTAACTTTAGTGACTAATTCTTTCTCTGAAGTTAACCTGTTTCCACCAACAAATGTTTCCTCGACATGTAATTTCTGACACTGTCTAGCATAATATTCTTTATGCCCACAATTAGAATTCCAGCGCAGAATGATGTATTGATAATAACCTTTTTATTCATGCCCTGATTGAAGTAAAGTGTTATTATTGGTACGGTGTTACAATAAGTGTCCCATCAGCAACAAAAAGGAACATTAGTGGAAGCCAGTAAGTGGAATATGCTCAGAATGTTTGTTGGCCAGTTAACCTTGTGTGACAATGATATAGTGAATGTAACTCTCATACTACACTGTAGTTTGCCACTGTTTAATACATTTTAAAGAAATTAAACAGGAGACAGTACAGTGTTTAAAATGAATGTACCTCCCAGAAGAAGTTGAGCAACAGCATCTACTGTAACGTCCTTCAGGCAAACCACATGTAGAACTGCTGTACACCATCATAGAAGATCTGGCAGTAATAATGTTTGACATCAGTCTCTTTAACTCTCAAAGTGAACACACATGAAATATAACACTGAACACATTTTGTCCAGCTTCACTCAAATGTTTTGCAGTTACAGCCTTTTTTTGATATAATATGGTAGCTCGCGGTGTCTGATGTAAGCAAACCGTTAATATACATTACTGAGCATCTGTCAGCACATCTACACAGCAGTAACTGCAGTACAACAGACATTTCAAAAAGGAAAGATCTCTTGAAAGTGTATGACAATATTTAATGAGGTAGCAACAGAGAAAGGCTTTTGGCAATTCATGGTATAACAGAGATAGGAGAAAGGACAGGACAGTCAGAGACAGTCGAGATGCTTGTAGTAGAAAGAGTTAATTGGAAAATGTAGTCTTGGGCACAGAGAAGCTGAATGAGATCACTGCGAGACTGTAAATGGTGCAGGATAGGTTGTTGGCTGCATGCTAGAGTTTAATGTGGAGCATTTGATGCAAATGTTGTGCTGACATATGCACTTTTATGGTACTGATAGGAAAAGTCCACCAGCAGGAATCTTCAGAGGAGAGTGTTGCATTATTGTATCAGGCACTCTTCAATGTTTCTGTGGTACTTTGCTTGGAGACAACTACTTAGTGACCTTCTCTACATGTTGCCTGCAACCTTTTGCATGACCAGCAGACGTGGAGGTTTCTTGCAAGCTTAGAGTGTCTGATGGAAACTAAAACGGGATGATGTTAGTGACAGTACATCTTGGAGTAGGAAGCATATAAGCAGCAGCTGGATTAATGTTACAGGCTGATAAGAGGAGTTACATTTTGTCTACTATCATTTGCTGGATGACTGTCAGCAAAACTAAATAATTTGCCTACTTTTTTAGCTTTCACACATTCTAGATGTATAACAACGCCATCAGTAGCGAGCTGTCTTTTTCAACACATTTTATTTTTTCCCATGAACTGCATGTAAGACTTCTTACCTCCTCCTCCTCTTAGTGTTCATGTTCACGAAGCTCCCCCTGGATTACTGAAAATTATTTTAAATTAAACTGACATTAAACAACACTGTGTAATACATAGTAACACTGAAGCAACATAGATTGTGATGCATACTTGACTTTTATGAATCCCAGTGGTGCTAAGTTTCTGTTGTCTTTCCATCTTTCTGTTTCTTTGTAGGTGTCATGAAAATGTCTATTTTGCCATGTTAATAACTCAACCATTAACTGAGAAGGGAAGAGCCGGGTTGTGCTGGACAATCACAGACTGAGAACCCTCAGAGTCCTGCTGTAACCTCCTGAGACAGACATGGGGAAAGTATACTACGTCAGTAAAAATGTGGGCCTTGGGATGCTTGTACTGGCAGTCAGCGCACTGGCTACGATCATAGCTCTGTCCATCGCCTTTGACAAGGAAAAGGCCAAGAATCGAGGTAAGCCTGCAGATGCAGCATCAGAGGGCACCATCATGACTACACCTTCCACCACCCCGTTAACCCCAAAGGAGCCCTGGGACCACTACAGACTTCCAAACTCCCTCATCCCCATCTCTTACAATGTGACTCTGTGGCCCCGGCTGGAGCCCAACGCAGACGGCCTTTACATCTTCACTGGACAGTCAGCAGTGGTCTTTAAGTGTGTGAAGGAAACAGACCTCATTATCATCCATGCCAGGAAGCTAAACTTCACTACCTTCCTTGGCCACCATGCTAAACTGAGTGGCCTGGGTGATGCCACTGTGCCCGCCATACAAAAGACTTGGCTTGTGGTGAAGACGGAGTATCTGGTTATTCAGCTGAACAGCAGACTAGCTGTGGGAACATCCTACGTACTTCACTCTGAATTTAGTGGGGAACTGGCAGATGACCTGGAAGGCTTCTACAGGAGTGAATACACTGAGGATGGTGTGAAGAAGTAAGACATGGCATAGCATAGCACAATATTGTACGATTTGTGCTTTTAATCTTCATTGTTCCAGTGCTCTTGTTGTTTGGTTGATGTTTGTTGTGTTGACGTTCAATTGGAATATTTTGCAGAGTTGTTGCTACCTCGCAGATGCAAGCAACCTACGCCAGGAAAACCTTTCCTTGCTTTGACGAGCCGGCCATGAAAGCTGTCTTTAATGTCACCATCATTCACAAACCAGGCACTGTGGCTCTGTCCAACGGCAAGGAAAATGGCAAGTTTTAGAAACACCGAAAAAGTTCTAATCTTTAGGACTTAATTCACTGTGAACCCTGAAATAGTACAGCAGTAAACCATAAAGAAAATGAAAAAATAGGAACAGGAACTGTATTGTTAGTAACTGTGATACTGCAGATGGTTAATAGTAGTATAGAAGTATTAAACAATTATGTTATGAGGGGTCTTTGTGGTGTCTCTGACATATTTCCATTGTAATTATTAACCTTATGTGAACCTTGGGTTTTAAATGTTCAACTAGATACAGTTAATCCTAACAGAGTATCAAGGTCTAACTGTTCTTCTCTCTGCACAGACATTTCAGACTCAGTTATCGATGGCGTGCCTGTCAAAGTCACAACATTTGAGCCAACAGAGAGAATGTCCACATATGTTTTGGCATTTATCGTCACTGACTTTGTTAACATTCAGTCAAACCAAAACAATCCGATGGTAAGTAATTCTGTATTTGTATTTCACATTAAAATACATTTTTAGTGAAGTCTGTATACAACAAAACATGTATCCTAGATCACCAGCACACAGAATTGAATTACTAACCCTAGGCTAAAGAGAAGGTTTTTTTGGTGTTTTTACATCTGTTAATGTGAATTTCAACTTTTTCAATCATTTGCAGATCCGAATCTGGGCTAAAAGGAAATCCATAGCTGACCGGCAGGGTGACTATGCGCTCAATGTTACAGGGCCGATCCTCCAGTTCTATGAGCAGTACTATAACACATCATATCCCCTCTCCAAGTCAGGTGGGTCAACTCAGCTTAAACACGCTGGGGCAAAATATTTTCCTGTGAAGACAGAAATATTAATCCCACTTCCTTTATCTTACTGAGCCCAGAAGATGGAAAGAAAAATATTTTGCTCACAATGTGCAAACTCTGCACATTTTCTGTCTGACATTTTAACTCGGATTTAAGAATCGGTAGATGTGAGTCAACAAGCCTAAGAATCTGCAGCTCTGCTCTTGCAAAGTGCAGATGTACAGCTAAAATAGAATGCATTTGCAGACAAAGCTAACATGCTGATGTTTGGTAGGTATATATTCAGTATGTTTCATGCTCACCATCTTTGTTCAGCATGTTAGCATGCTAACATTTGCTAGATAGCTCTAAACACAGAGTACAACAGAGATGATGGCAATCCATTGACTGGATATAAAAATGAACATTGCCACCATCATGTTACTCATGGGGTTGTAGACTACTGTTTTGAAACCTTAAGTTTAACATTTGGAATCATAATCAACGTAGCCAAGTATACTCTGCGTTATTATCTGTTTTCCTCTGAATGAGACTATCATTTACAAAATATACATGATAATAAAGAAGACTGAAATCTTCTTATTGAGACCATAAACTAAGCAGGAAAATATTTACTGAGATTAAAAAAAAAACACAACCAAATCAAGGGAGAAGTAAACTCATTTAATTATAGACTTCTGTGCAGTCTGACTTCTTTGTGCAACCAGATGAGTCACTCCCTGCTGTCTGTTAGGGAGAGTGCAGATTTAATACTTTTCAACACTGGCTTCATTTTTCTGACCTCAAGGCTACATGCACCTTACAGTCTGTTTGGGAATGTATGTTTTACTTTTGGTCATGAACCTTGAACTAATTACAATCTGAATCCAATTGTTTAATTTCATGTATGATCATAAATGTCAGCCTCATTGTGGTGCTGGTGGAAAATGCAAGCGCTCACAAAAGTCAGAGGGATTCATCCTCTAGGGACCATGAATGTTGTTAAGATTTTTAGTCTGGACCAACACGACCATCATACCAACCAACATACAGAACGAAATTTCCATTCTTAAAGCCATGAGGGTAGCAAGGCCAAAAAAGCAAAAGCTGCACAAGGCTGGACAATGTAATGTTGTAAATATGATGTTTTGTTTCTGTTATGCCAAGTTCGATGAAAAGAATAACCTTTCATTTATCCATCCATCCATTATCTATACACCGCTTAATCCTCATTAGGGTTGCGGGGGGCTGGAGTCTATCCCAGCTGACTTAAGGTGAAGGCAGGGGACCCCCTGGACAGGTCACCAGTCTATCGCAGGGCCACACTTAGAGACAGACAACCAACCATGCTCACATTCACACCAACGGACAATTTACAATCACCAATTAACCTCAACATGTTTTTGGACTGTATGGGAGGAAGCCGGAGAACCCAGAGAGAACCCACACTGCACGGGGAGAACATGCCAACTCCACGCAGAAAGATGTCGCGAACCGGCGACCTTCTTGCTGCGAGGCAACAGTGCTAACCAACTGTGCCATCAATTATACATCAGATATGCAATAGCTCAATGCACTTTGTTTTATTTTTAAAAAAACAATAGGTAATTCTCACAAATTCATAATAACCAAATTTCATGTTTTAAAGAGAGTTTTATTCTATTTTAAATATTTAAATTTATTGTAAATATGCAATTTGATTAGTGGACAAGCAAATAATTTAAATTTTACTGAAAACAGCCATGACTAGAGTACCTGATGTATGCTAAATTCACCAGTCCATCCTTATTATGTATAAAATTACTTCATGATTTCTAACATGCAAGGTAACATCAAACTGCTAAATTTGACCTGATGTGACATTGAACAGAAAGCTGTTTCAGATAAGTGCACTCTATTACATCTTTGTTGGCTCATTTTAAAGACACTCTGACCATCTTTAGCTTCTTATTTCTGTTCTCTGCAGATCAGATAGCGCTGCCTGATTTCAATGCTGGAGCAATGGAGAATTGGGGTCTGGTCACATACAGGGAAACAGCCCTGCTCTATGACCCCATGCTTTCCTCTACTGGAAACAAAGAGAGAGTCACAACCGTCATCTCCCACGAACTCGCACACATGGTATGCCATTGTTTTTCTCCCAAACCCTGTCATCACTTCAGTCCTAGTTTTAGTAATAACAAAATCAAGCAAAATGAGGGGCTGTTATCAGGACATTCATGAGGTGCAAACTCAGTCTCAGCTGGATGTTTCTCACTCAGTAATATAGCAATGTAAATATAAGTTTAGCCTTAGTGTTCAACCTCCCTTTGTCAAAGCAAATGACAAATCATCACACTGGGACAAATTAATCCTGCTCCCTTCAAAGCCTTGCATCATAAGGGATGTGAAATTTTGTGGTTGGGAATTTTTTTTATTCCCATCTGATTCAGTTGTTGTATTACTTGGAAGTTAACAAAAGTGCCAATGCTAGCCAGAATTAAAGTTCATGGAAACATTAGTTTTCACAGACTACAATGCAGAACTGTTTGTCTCCTTATGTGTTGTGTTTATTCAGTGGTTTGGAAACCTGGTGACTCTGCGATGGTGGAATGACTTGTGGTTGAACGAAGGTTTTGCTTCATACGTAGAGTACCTCGGTGCTGACTACGCTGAGCCCACCTGGAACATTGTAAGAGCCGTGCTCATATCATTAAAGACTGTGAACTTTTATACACCTCACACAAGATGTATATTTATGCTTCTCAGATCAAAACTTTTCACTGATATTGTTGGCTTAGAAAGTCTGTCCTTATGCACTTCTCTGCTTGTCTGCAGAAAGACCACATCATTCTGTATGACGTGCAGAAGGTGTTTGCTGTCGACGCCCTGGCCTCCTCTCACCCGCTGTCTCGCCAGGAGGAGGAGGTCAATGACCCTGCTCAGATCAGCGAGATGTTCAACACCATCTCCTACAGCAAGGTCTGCTCCTCTGAGAAGTTCACACAGTATTTGATGGAGAATCTTCTTTAGACATACTGTGTTTATTATTACATTGTAATTTGTCCCTTTCACATGAGATCCAATGTATTAAAGATGATATAGGTCAATCTGGAGCCCATATGACTTTAAATCTCCAACTCTACCTGATTCCATTAAACTAGAATTACTGCCTCACAGTTGTACGCCTCCTCCAACCTGTCAAGTTGAAGTTTACATCCATGTGTGTCCAGAGATGACTGTTGACCTTTTAAAATAGCATCACTTCATAATGTTACGCAGATTTGTGTAAAATTATTGTCATGATTGTCATTTGAACTCTTCAGTTGTGACAAAAAAGAAGCTTTTTTTTTAAAGTCACAATCACTTTTGACCACCAAAATTGAATAAATTCTTCCTCATACCAAGTGAACGTTTGTGGCTAAATTTGATGATATTACATCAAGGCATTCCTGATATATTGCATTAACAAGAATGATACTGACAGACTGATAGATGAACAACCAACGGAACAACCAATGCCCATACCAAAGAAAGAAAAAAGTGCCTTTATCCCCCAAACCATATAAACTATCACACCTTTGCATTAGAAAATATGCTGTATAATTTTAAGTTTTAAGTCTTTGTTTCCCTTAGTTCAGTCCTGCATCTTGTCATTTCCCTCAGACTCATATTAGACCATCGGGGCAGAATTTTGTTTTAATATTTGCTTTGGAGTGGGTGCAAATAATGTTGCTGTTCTGAGAAATTCAAACCAAATCCTGGTGGTTTCTGTGTTTGTTGTTTTCAGGGTGCGGCGGTGCTCAGGATGCTGTCAGAGTTTCTCACTGAGCCAGTGTTTGCCCGAGGACTCAGTGTGAGTATCAGCTTTGATATAGGATCTCATCTTTTGATCACTACTGCCATTCCGTGTGTTTGTGACTGTGTTAGCTTCCTGGTAGCGTGTGGTAGTGTGTGGTAACCACAAGATTGCTCACATAAGTTCTTTTTAAATTCATGATGTGTTGCTTCCTGTGGGAATGCTTTAAATCCTGTTCCCTGCTTTCTATCTGTCTCCTCAGTCTTACCTGAACACATTCGCCTTCGGCAACACGGTGTATACAGACCTGTGGGACCATCTCCAACAGGTCGGTTCAGTTTAAGTCTGAAAGCCACAGTTGTGCTGAGCATGATGTCCTCTGGCAGTGTCTCTGTGGGAGTGTGGACTTATGTTAAACTCTTGCTACCCTCTGTTTCTTGTCAGGCAGTAGAAAACACACCAGGTATACATATTCCACACTCTGTCCATGACATCATGAACCGCTGGACTCTCCAGATGGGCTTCCCAGTGGTCACTATTGACACCCGGACAGGAAGTATCAGCCAGAAACACTTCTTGTTGGATCCAGACTCTGTAGTGGACAGGCCCTCTCAGTTCAAGTAGGAATCAATTTTTCCGTATCCTGTAAGTTCCATGTAGATAATAAACCAAGAGATTTTAATAATAAAGTAATCAATCGTCTGAGGAACAAATAAACAAAATAACTTAATTTTTAAAAAAAATCATCATACTACAAATGTTGTAGTTCTCGTCAAACATGTGGTAACAGCATTAAGCCATGCTAGCAGCTCTGTAAGGCACTCTGGCACAACAGTGCTTTGAGCTAAAAGCTAATGTAGGCATGCGAACATGCACAAAATTACAATGTGAAAATGCAGGAGTAATGTTTACCATGCTGAAAGGATTTACTACTTGGCACCGAACACCAAGTTTTATTGAGGCTGACAGCATTGTGACTAGCTTTGCAGTTCTGTGAGAAACTACACTTGACTGTGCTCACTGATTGATGGTACATCCCGAGGGAGACATTAACATACATACCAAACTCTATGGCAGTTCATCCAACATTAAATATTTCACTTAAATCCACACATATCAGCATCTAGAATTTAGATGGTGCTACAAGAAAAGTTAGAGGATCACCAAAGTCAGTAAGATTCATCCTTTGGAGACCATCAATGTCTGTAGCAAACTCCATTAGAATTCATAGTCTGACAGAAACCCAGAAAAACAGACTGACATCATTGTCCCTTTGTTTCACTCACTGTCTTTATCTATGTATTTTTCCAGTTACACATGGTTTATCCCAATTAAATGGATGAAGACGGGCGTTGAGCAGCAGCAATACTGGCTCCTTCAAAAGACAGGTACGACTATGGCAATACTTGCTGTTTTTCTATATTACAGCCGCACATTGGATGCAAAAATATACCAGCTCCAACCTGGTTAGTGGACCCAACTGCAAGTTCTTGCATTAGATTCTCAAGTTGCATATTCTTTTATATTGTCATCTAGACACCCACAGTCCGATAAGAGTGTCAGGAGAGGACTGGGTGCTGGCAAACACAAACGTATCTGGATACTTCAGGGTGAACTATGATCTCGGCAACTGGGATCGTATCCTATCCCTGCTCAACACCGACCATCAGGTGAATCACGTGCTTTACGTCTGCTTTTAGATACAAACAGAAAAGATGTACCATATGTCTTAATGACAGCTGCAGTCTTGACCCCTTTATTCTGTTGTTAAAACACAAATTATTCTATCATTCTCACTAAAAAGTGGATGCTGAGTTTCTGCATCCAGCTGCAACTGGATGAGTTTGGTGTGAACATTTTAATAAGCCAAAAAAGTAATACTGTGGAGCCTGTTAGAGGCGAGTAAGGATGAAATAAAACTGCTTTATGAAACACTTGTGGGTTTCATTTGGCCACATGGAGGGCTTTGGAGTCTTTACTAGTCAGACTAATGCTGGCTTTGTTAAATGTCATACAGTGTCCAACAGATGTGACTACACCCCTGTGCAACAGCACTCAAATGTCAAATGTTTTCAAATTGAATTAGCTTTTAATAACTGCATTATTTCTAAGTTAAAAAGTAGAATATTTCCTCCAATGAATTGTCAAACATTATTTTTGAAAGACCACATTAAAAATACAGGTGCAAGTAGAAACTTAGTGGAACAGAAGTGAATACACCCATGATCACTGATACACAAGTTAGAAAACCTGTGATCACTGAAACTAAACTGAGTACACCTGTGATTTCCAGTCAGCCTACTTTCATGAAAATGATGACAAAATGAGCTGTGAACAGCAAAACTTTCTCAGTCTTGAATCTATGGGGTGGATCTGTCTACATGTCTACATCAGGCTCCACATAGAAAAGAGCTGCCAGACTGTGAGACTTCACAAAGATTCAGGAGATATAGAACATGCCACAGTACCAATAATCAGAGTCACAGTGATTGTCCTTCTAAAAATGACAGAATGCTACCAGCACAATCTGGCTCTGAAAAACTGATGTGAAAGTGCTTTAGACTTAACACAGGAGTTATCAATGGAAATCAGCGTTTCTGTGACCGACATTTTCCATTTATGTCAACTTCTGTTGACGTCACCCAAGAAAGTAACCCTTGTTAGCTCTACAGCACCAAACAGCAAGATGAAACTTTGCTAAAGAAGATGAAAAAGATGCAAAAGGTGTTGGAAGATGGCATTTATAGATGGTGACATGAATGTCTGTGGATGTACCACAATACTGACTGACAAGATGACTCCCAGGCTGCAGAAGCTTGATAGAAAAAGAATACTCCATGATAACAATCCAAAGGACGCTGCCAAACTCACACACAAGTTTCTCACAAAGAAAAAAAGGGAAACCTATGACCTGGCCAAGTATTTCACCTAACTTGACGCCAGTAGAACACCTTTGGGATATTTTAAACAGAAAAGTTAAGCAATAAACCACCTCGAGCAAAAAAACAGCTGAAAAATCAATTGAGTTCCCACAATGGGTCCTCTGTTTTTAATACTGTGTATCTACAATGTTACTGTTCAACTTTGAAGTAATGTAGTTTTTGTAAACTGGTAGAATTTTGAATTATTTGACATTTACGTGATAGTAGACAGTTGTGTGCTCACTTCTGTTGTGTATTATAATGCATTTTCTGTTGATCTTATATTTTATGATAAATAATAAACGTGGCTTCTAAAGCTGTAGAAACCAAGACTGTATAAAGGAAAGAAGGGAAGGTACAGTTGCCTTTGTATCTCATTCTTTTTAATCTGTATGTGTCTATGTTTCATTTCTTTAAGGCTTTATCAGTCATCAACAGAGCACAGGTCATAGATGATGCATTCAACCTAGCAAGGTAAAGTAAAATGAATGTCTACATATTGTGTCACATATTGTTTTTCTGCAAAGCATGCAAAGGATTTGTTTCTTTTGTGCAGAGCTAAAATAATCAGTACAACGTTGGCTCTGAGAACAACCAAATACCTGTCCAAAGAGAGAAACTATATCCCCTGGGAGTCAGCTCTGAGGAACCTTGACTACTACATCTTAATGTTTGACCGCACTGAGGTCTACGGAGCTTTACAGGTTTGCCATACTTCACTGTGAATATTAATAGTTATTCTGATAACAGGAGGAGAGAAAAAAAATATTGTTGGTATGTTTTTATTTTAGGCGTACCTCAAGAAGCAAATACAACCACTTTTTGAACATTTTAAGATACTTACAGCAAACTGGACCAAAATACCTGCAGGACACACTGACCAGTAAGAATTGGTTTAATGACTGATACATTTTAAAATCACAAAGCTACATTCTCACTCATGGTGGACCATTTTCTTAATCAACTTCCTTCTCAGGTATAATGAGATCAATGCTATTGGGATAGCATGCAGTGTGGGTGTGGAGGGCTGCAGGGAGGTGATCAAAAGCTGGTACAGAGAGTGGATGGAAAATCCAGGTCAAAACCCGTGAGTACCAAACAGTTTAAGTCGGTTCTTTAAGGTTTTAAAATAGAAGTTTGGCCGCTGCACTGTTTGAAGCCTTAAACAGTGCAACAAGTGTACAGATGTTTTCTGTAGCCATCTCGCAATGTACACTCCAATTGTGTGTGAGCCAGTGTGTCTGCCTTTTCATTTTTTAATCTACTTTATGCCGACCAGGATCCATCCCAACTTAAAAAGCACAGCTTACTGCTATGCTATAGCCTTCGGTGGTGTGGAGGAGTGGAACTTTGCCTGGAGAATGTTCAAAAACACCACTCTGGCATCTGAAGCTTCCAGGCTCAGGTCGGCCATGGCCTGCACCAAAGCACCTTGGCTTTTGAACAGGTACATGCAACATTTGTGGGAGTAGCCTCCATCATGCCCTCTGATGTAGCACAACACTATAACTGCTTTTCAAAGACATTATGTTGGTTAATTATCAATCTGAAATTTTATTTCAAAACTGCTGTTTGGCGAAAGCTCTGCTGTAGTTTAATGTTTGGAATTTACTTGGGCCATGAATCACAGTTACAACATGCTGACTCATAAAAATCATTAAGATTTTTATCTGTAACATGCGGAAGTGTGGAAATAACGCTGCAAATAAACAATGGTCTTACTTTGAGCCTTCCATGTTGGTTGCCACATATTTTTTTCTCCTAAACTCTTTTGTGACTAATGTTGCCAGTAGTAGGTTGCTACATTTCAGATGCAAAATGTGCTTTTGTAACAAGCTTGGCAGCTGCATGGAAATTTTTATCAAGTGTCTTTTTTGTCCTGTCTTGACATGATACCAACTAATTGGCAAACTATTTTTTCCTTCTTTTTATTTGGATCAAGCAGTAGACAATTGTAATAGCTTGCACCCACAATGCACCACATAGAAAATAATGAGCGAGTGCATGCAAAAGCTTTTTTCTGGAATAATTTAACCACCTATGAAATGGAAGAAAGTAGATTAAGCCAGCGAGCTGACTCACCAATGTCATTTCCACAGCAAATCAAACTAAACTTTGCCACCATAAGTCCCAGACAAAAAAAAATTGTGGCAACAAATCCCATGAGAGTCTGATTAGAGCAGTTGTGTTTTATTCATAGACAGTATTTAAAAGATAGATATAGGGTAGTCCACAAACCAGTGGGTGACTTTACGTTGGCTATGTCCATCTTTATACACAGTCTATGATTTTATAGCCTATGAGCCATTGTTGGTTGTTCAAAAGTTAGATAGTCTGGCTTTAAAGGTACTGTTGCCATGCACTATTCATTACTGTGTATCTGCTGGACTGTGTTCTCTTCTGTACAGACATTAGCAGCAGCTATTACTAATTAGTTAAATTATGTATTATTTTAGCACAATATGTACCCTGAACATAACGTGTCACCCTTTATACATGCTCCAGGTGTTCTAAATATTCTTTTTCTTTTCTTCTTCTAAAAAATATTGCCTTTGTTGAGTCAGGTATCTGGATTACACCCTAGACCCAACTAAGATTCGTAAACAAGATGCTACCTCTACCATCCAGTACATTGCCCGAAATGTTGTGGGGATGCCGCTGGCCTGGAACTTCGTCAGAGCAAGATGGAGTTACATCTTTGATCAGTAAGAACTTTCTTCTTACAGGGGTGGGACAACAGTCAAGTCTATTTAGGAATTCACTGAGGACAGAAGAATATCTGACGCATAAAAACCACAGCGACTCTTGACTGAGTGATGAAAATGTTGAAGATTTTTAGGTAGAAGTGCAACTTCTCTAAGTGCACATGCTGCTCTTTTTACTTCAGTTCTCACCCAGTTTGTTGAGTATGCAATCATTTCTTAATCCAAGCTTTTGAGGCAGCGATAACTAGAAAAAAAATAATCCTTTAACAATGAAGTGTTGCAGTTTTTGAGGCTTTACACATGTCCACTACCAGATTTTATGATTTATTTCATTTGCAGAGTTTCCTGCTCACAAGGACATTTGCGTAATGTTTTTTTTTCCCATAAATATGTCCAATGAGCAGGATATGCACAAATTCCTTCTGCTCAACTGCATCCTTCATTTCAGATATGGAAAAGGATCGTTTTCCTTTGCGAATCTCATCAGTGGAATCACAAAGAGATTCTCTACGGAATTTGAGTTGCAGGAGGTATGCAGCCCACACAACCACAATCACACCAAATCACACACTCTATTTCCCCGAGGGTGTTTAAAGGGAAAAGAAGTACAACATATGCCGAAATTTAGTTTTTTCTCTCTCTATCCAGCTGAAGAAATTTAAAGAGGACAACCTCCATATTGGTTTTGGCTCAGCCACCATGGCTCTGGAGCAGGCCATCGAGAAGACCACGGCCAACATCAAATGGGTGACAGAGAACAAAGCCGAAGTGCTGAAGTGGTTTACTGAGGAGTCCACATGAGGACACACAAAGTCAAAGAGACACTGCTTGTTATTTTGTACCATCAGGGATACGTAATGATGACAATCACTATAATCATCAGGAACAACAACAGCCCTTTCTGTTGACCACAGCGACGCAAACACTGTTCACGCAATAACTCACTGGACATCAGCTTCAGTCTAAAGGAAGAGTGCAAGACAGTTTACTTGTATTTTCTTCGTACTTCACATTATAAGTTGTTGCTTATTAGGACGTACGCCACATATTTCTACCTTAATCTTGAGACACTGATCCACTTGTAGAAAACAGCTTCAGAGGTCAACGGCAGTCATTGTACAAGTGGCTGAAACCTGTGACTGTGATTAGTAGTAATCATGATGCGATGTTGATGACCTTTCACGCAAACTTTACACTGCATTTTAAATTGGCTCCTATGAATAAAGTTGATGCGTGCTTGCTATATGTGTGTGTGTGTGTGTGTCTGTCTGCAATTTGGGAAATGACCACAGATTTGTCTCCTCTGAGGAAACAGTTCTTTCCAGTTCCAGTAAATTCCTGGAACTTCCTCTATGTTAAGCCTTTACACTGAGAATCAGTCCTAACTGTTTGTCCTGCGCAACTTGACGTGCTTGTATTTTTCCGAATCAAAGTGAAAGCATGCAAACTGTGAGGATTTTTACAGCCCTTTGACGCTAACATTATACAGGGGCTGTAGTCAACCAAAGAAAATCTGGGTTGACTATAATCACAACTACTGTTCAACTCATCAAAGCAAAAAAAGAAAACTTGTACGGTATCTCTGGAGTAACTTTACTTTTCCAGCTAGCCATGTTTGCTTATATGATTTGTACATAAACATAAAAAGTTAGTATTGTATTGTATATACAGCATATTTAATCATTTGAACCTGGTTATATTTACTGAATTTATAGCAACAGACTTCGAACAGACCACTGTGCGCCTGCCTGTATCCATATGATTTCTGAAAATACAATTTATAGCAACTGGTAATCCCAACACATGGACTTTTGAGAAAGATAACACAGATAAGTTTGAGCTATGATACAGAAAGTACTGTTTGCAAAGTTTGCACTCAACTTTTTGGACATCATTTTTACCTAAATGCAGCCACGCTGATAACTACTTTAACACGGTGTTAGTCAGTTTGGGACCTAGTCTAAATAAACAGTAAATGTTAAATCAGTTAGACCTTGTAGTGTCCATTGAGTAAGGTTGAGTTCAAAGCTGTAAAAACATGAGGGTCTTCATAGATCTGTTTCTCTACCAAAAATAATGGGTTCATCTGAAGAGATTAGTGATGTAGCGCTTGTCTGCTTATGATGAAAGTAACACTAGTGATTGACCAATGAGAATTTGGTCCGATGAGAGCATTTTGATCAACCAATTGACCAGCACACTGTACACCGCACAGCTAAATGCCAGATTAAAAGCCAGCAAGCAAAATCTTAAGACGACTTCAAAATTTTGCCAAAGAGTCAACTAGCTTCAGTCACACATGTGAAAGTATTCAGTCTTCTAAACTTAGCCCTCCTAAGGGTTAAATCCCTTGTTTTTGGAAACTGCAATAGTAGCGTCATAGATCCTATCTACTTGGCTCAACTTTCCATTTTCCGATAATCTCAGTAGGGATCTGATCCTACATGCCCATCCATAGGGGACCACAAACTTGTAATTTGACCCAAAAAATCTAATGAAATACAAATCTACAATTTGAAAATTGTAATTTCAAATGAGTGAATCTGCTGTTCACTGGAAGTGGCTTCCTGAAAATGAAAACATCACAAACCTGTTTCCTCTTTTTGTCCTCATGTGACTTTTGTGACTGCACACCTGTGGGAACCTTCAGCACCCATTTCTGTTCATGATCACACAGGGGACACTTCTTGTTTCCACTAGTTTAAAGCAGCATTGGGACATTGACAGTTCAAGGTGAACACACGAGCTGATAAGAGGTTTTACTGACGTGTGAAGTTGAAAACAATGAAAAGGTTAAAGTAGCACTCCACTGATTTGACATGTTAATCGTTGTTGTAGAACTGCCAGTCATGCTGACAGTTCTACAACGCTTGCATCTGAGAAAATGGCCCAAGTTACATAATCCAGGTATCTCAGCTCAGGCTTAAAGAATGCAAAACATTATGGGATGGGAGCAGAGCGTTTAACAGCAGACATGACCATGTTGGGATGTGTAAGATCCAGTGTTTTTGAATCTTTTCTCAGTCGTGTCCATTGCATTTTGCATCATACCTTTCTTGCACACTTTCAATTATTGTCAGGAACCATTTCAACATCATAGCAGGCAACTGAAACAAGCAAAGTGTTTAAATTAACAGTAAACCTCTCTGCCTGATGTGCCACACACTTTGCTGTAGCAGTTTAAGGCTTCTAATCGCCAATGAAACTTTACTTCATTACATGTATGAACTGGAGATCCACAGAGCTGTCAAGCATTCATACCTCAACAGTTTGGTTAAAATCCATACAAAGATGGTTGTTTTAAGAAAAATCCTCAGCGATCTACGACCCTCCCTCCTTCAGAAAATAAATGTCCGAATACTTTACATTGTGCAACACTGCTGGAACATAAATGTATTAAGAAATGCCAGTATCCTAGAATCACACTGGATTAATACTCACGACAAGCAGCAACAAGTTCAAACTGTCTGTGGTTGACAATGATTGAATATTGTGTGTTGAAGGTTGCGTAATATCTTGCTGTGTAATTTGGATAGAGTGGAACTATCGGATCAGACCTGGATGTGGAGAAGTTACAGATTTCCGCTGAACTATTTGAATAGTGTTTCCGTTTGTTATCAAATCATCACTGTCAAAGGGAAGCTTGTCGGGACACATGTTGAAATGAAAGATCTGACTCATTGATTGTGGACAAGCAGGTGAAAGTGAGTGAAGTTTTGCAGACAGAGCTCCTTTAAGGTAAGACTCTGTGATCAACAGGAGAAAAAGCTGAATCCACTGAGTCTACACAAGGTAAGAAAACTGGTTTGCCGTCATTGCATCTTACTTTATTTTAGAATTTGTGTGTCTGTCTGCAACAGTACTGGCTCTTTAAAGTAGTCAGGCTTTTTTTTTTCTGCTCTTACCAGATGTTCAGACCCTAACTCTGCTTGTGCAGAGTTGGAGAGGTTGTATTACTGGCAGTGACAGAGTTTAAAGTGACAGGCTAAATGACATTCAAAACACTGCACAGAATTTTACAACCCTTATGAGGCAAGATTTTACAGCTGCACAACAACCCTTGTTCTTGGCAGTTGGCAAAATGATACTAAACATGACGGCCACTTTATAGGTGCATGCAGGCCCACGTGTGTGCGTTTGGACTGGTCTTGTGCAGCCTGTTGCTCACCACACTGCTTCAGTACTGCGCCTCATTTAATCCTCATTTGACTGCATTGGCTTATCTTTCACTGCAACAGAAACTCCTGCACCTCTATGGAAAAAGCACAACCATGACTAGAAAGAGAGAGGACTCAAACATATGTTCTGTGCAGTGTAACAATATTACTATGGCACAAATCATGAAAGAAAGAAAAATGAAAGTTACATTTCCTTGATTATTTATTTTTGCAAACTTAAAAAAAAAAAAAAAAGAAAAAAAAAGAAATCAAAATTTACAACATTTTTCCAAGTGCCCAAAGGTGTTACCAATACTGGAGGGAAAAACATGACTCTACATACTATAAATATTTTTACTACTTACATTTTTACAATCTCTGCACACAAGGCTTTTTTTTTTTTTTTTTTTTTACAAGACACTCAACTCTAGAAAGATGCTTCACCATGTCCAATGTATCTCCCAACAACTTGCTCCTCTGTATTCTGTTTTTAGAACCGTGCTGCATTTATTTCATTGCCTGAGTGCATTCTATTTTCCTCTTAACCACTTTAGTTGTTTTTCCATGCTTATCTCCTTTCTGATCTGTCGAAACAGCCTGCAGTTCTTTTAAACTGTTGCAACAGAGCCAGCTAGAGCTTCTCAGTTGCACCCAGCAGCACCATTTTTTTTTCTTCTTCAGAATCAGGTGCAAACTATTTTTGATAAATGAGATGTAGAATAAGGTGCTGATGAAATGTCACAATTTTAAGTTTAGTTGTGATTTTTTTTCCAACAGAGCAGCATGTGGCACATTATTCGTTCAAGAATATGTGAATGCTAAAACTCCAACAAGTTAAAGGAGAACTTTTGTGATTTTATGTATTTTTTCCTATCGTCAGCAACTCCCAGGAAAAAGGACAAAACCCACAATGTACTGATCCTGGTAACAAATACTGTCTGCCTCATTCAGCTTGTTCCTCAGTGCCTTGGAATCTTAAAAACAGCTTCAGTTGCGCTGGATAACATGTGAAACTGATCAGTGGTATTAATCTGTGGCAATGACTAATACGGGACTTCCTGACTATAAGAACAAAATAGAGAAAAAAACATTCGATAAACAAGTTCTTTCTTGCAGTGTCGTTTCAAGCTCAGACTGGACCTGTGTGAGGATACATATAAAAACCAAGGCAGAAAAGGCTGTGGAAACGAAACCTAAACGCTATGACGCTGTATGCACCATATGCTGTCTACAAAAGGCTACATCCTGTAAAGACCTTGGTGGAGGACCACAGCTGCAACTGTTGCATTGATGATAGTGTGCTGCTTTCACTACGCACCATGGGTAGACACTTCTCTGACTCATTACCCACAGCTCATTTAGGTGGTAACAGTAAATTTCCAAATGAACCACTTGACTAACCCAACTTGTCATTTACTTGGCATGGCTTTGCACGCGATGAAGAGTGTCATGGTGAGGATTTTAGATGAAAAAAACAACTAAAAAAATCTGCTGAATTTACGCTGATGGTTCTCGAGCAAGAGCTGATTAATTGTAAGAACAACAGAATCAAGTAATTAGTAAGTATTTCTTCTTATTCTATTTGTTAATAAAACATTAGAAGTCATTTTTCTTTGTTTCGATAAGCAACTCATACAAAGAAGCATGTGTTTTCAGTTTAAACACGGGAATTTCTCCATTTCTTAAAAGCACCACTGTGTCGGTCAACCACCAGAAGTTTATTGTCATCACATCATCTGGAGGGAAATAAAAGTTAACTCCATTGTGTAAACCCATATTTAGACTGTTTCATAATGCCATTCTGGCTTCTTCACTATCGAACAGACACATCTATATACACTTTTCATTTGAAACACACACAGACACACGCTGCTGTGAGCTCCACTCACAAATCCATCACCACACAATTTTCAACCCTGAATAAACAGTCAACACTGGCCAGCCTCTAAAGAAGGCCTTCATTCAGAGCCACTAACAGGTATAAAGTTTACAGATTAGGCAGGACTCTTATCTCGAGGACTTTTTACAACTCAGTGTTTTGGACTTTCAGCTGTTTTTTTCCATCCAGGAAATCAATCATTTACTTTGGGCTGAATGCAACAAGTCAGGACATAAATAGCAATCACTCCCCCTCTTCTCCCTTCTTCTCCTCTGGTAGAGACATGGGGAAAGGCTTCTACATCAGCAAAGCGGTGGCAATAGTCTGCGTGGTTGCAGCCGTTGCCGCCACGGCCATCATCATCGCCCTCTCCGTGGTCTACTCTCAGGAGAAGTCAAAGAATCTAGAGGACCCTGTAGCCACTGGTGAACCCGTCACCACCACGCCCTCCACACCCAAAGACCCATGGCAGTTCTACAGGCTTCCAGACACCCTCGCTCCGTCCTCTTACAACGTGACCCTGTGGCCCCGGCTGACGCCGAATGCCGACGGCCTCTACATCTTCACCGGACACTCCACGGTGATATTCAAATGTGTGAAGGACACCGACCTCATCCTCATCCACTCCAACAAGCTGAACCTCACCACGTTTGAAGGACACCTTGCCAAGCTGACGGGCCTGAATGGAGCCCCTGCGCCCACCCTGAAAACGACCTGGCTGGAGGTTCCCACCCAGTTCCTGGTCATCCAAGTCAGCAGCCCTCTGAAGGCTGGCAACACATACCAGCTCTACACCGAGTTTGTTGGAGAGCTGGCAGATGACCTGGGAGGATTTTACAGGAGTGAATACACGGAAGATGGAGTGAAAAAGTATGAGTTTTTTTAAAAATGTATTTTTACATTTTAATTTATTTTGTTTTAAATATTTCTGTTTGGTTTTAATGAGCTATGTCATAGAGAATATTTCAACAAGATGTACATATTAAAACATATTGCAGGACAAAAAACAATCGTTTAAAAAAAATAAATAATTCAAACCAAATTTTGAAGTGCTACATTTAAAGCTGCTACATGTAGTTTGGTGACCCCTAGTGGTTGGATTGAGAAGGATAGTGTGGTCAAAGAATAAGCATTGAAAGCCCCATGCTGGTGATGCTTCCCCTTCTCCACTGTTAAAATATCCTCTGTAAACCAAATATGTCAACAAACAGAGGAATTCATTGAAACATACAATATATACAAGCGCTACTTTACAAAATAGTTCCTATAAGACACTGATGGCTGATAAACATACCTAAAAATGCACTATCTGCTTTCACATATCTTCTTGTGCACTCACTCACTGACTTTTTCAATCTGCTGTTGTCAGAGTTGTGGCTACGACTCAAATGCAGCCAACAGACGCGAGGAAAGCCTTCCCCTGCTTCGATGAGCCGGCTATGAAAGCTGTCTTCCACATGACTCTCATTCATCCCCTCGACACGGTGGCTCTGTCCAACGGCATGAACAACGGTAAATTCTTGTTTTCCATGTGAACTGCTCATGTGCAATGTTTCCTTTAGGACTGATGTTCGTTTATCTCTCCTGATAGAAACCAAGTATAAGACATCTCATTTTTTTTATGCAAATGCTTCTATGTGGCTTAAGAAAACATTAAAAAACTTGGTCCCTGAAGTTTACTGGTAGATTATTGCAGGTCTTTTAAAACCCCATAATTGTTGGAAATAAATACCGGTCATCCATCAATAACACACTTATTACTGTAGCTTCAAACATAACTCTCTCTTCTTTGTTCTGCTGCTGTCCTTTACCCCAAACAGAGCCTATCAACATCACGATGGACGGCCAGAAAGTAAAACAGACCAGCTTTGAACCTACAGAGATCATGTCAACCTACCTGCTGGCTTTCGTTGTGTCTGATTTTACATACATTAGTTCAGGCCCAGGAGCAAAAGTTTTGGTAAGTATTTATTAAATCCTTCAATCAGAATTGTACAAATGGATGTAGATGACAATATCAACATTACTTGTGTGCATAGGTCTTTGAATATAGCTATTATCATTATTAGGCAGTTTGTCTCAATTTATTTCCACTCTTTAAATTACCACTGTACCACTGAGCTCCTGTGCTGAGATAGTCTCTGACCTCTGACCTCTACACTTCTGTTACTGCTGCTTGTACTAACACTGTATTTTCTTGTTACTACTTCTGCTATCTGCTTACTTTAATTAGGCCCCAAGAATACAAGCTGATCTAAGCTCAAGAGAGCCTGAAGTTTAACAGGAGAAGTAGATGCCCACAAAAAATCACTTTAAAATACACACAGTGTTGGCGTCTACTCTAAATTGTGATGTATATTTTGAAATAGCAAAAAGACAGAAGCGAAACCAAACCGTCAGACATATTTGTGCCCACTAAAATGGGATCAGCATTTTCTACTATTTTCCACTCTGCTATAAACTTGAACCCTTAATTTCATGAATTAGACCAGCAACAAGTGTCAGACAGTCTTGACTGCTTCTCTCTGATTGGGTCATATCATGTTTCATTTGTATCCACTCTTCTGATTTAACTGTATTTGCTGATTGACTGTGTTCTCACAGTTTGAAATGAATCATAAATACGGTCTTATAAATCTTAGCTACTATTACCAAGAATCTTAAACATTTCACACAAGTCAAACAAGAAGACTTACCATAGAATCTTGGGATGTTTTCTCATCAGCTGTTTGCCTGCTCGCCTCTGTCTCTCTGCTGCCCTCTGCTGGACTCAGAGCTCAGCTCTCTGGTCCACCGTCATCTTTTTATGTCTAGTCCATGAAGTGTTGTTTTTCTTGCTTTAGATCAGGATCTGGGCTCGCAGGAAGGCCATAGAGGAGGGCCAGGGAGACTACGCCCTGGAGAAGACTGGACCCATACTGTCTTTCTTTGAGAACTACTACAATTCTCCTTATCCCCTGAGCAAGTCAGGTAGGAACCCACACACACTCAGATTAACAGACGCATACTGCTGTTTAGTTAATGCAACACTCTCTGTTCTTTATTTTGTTTTTGTTTTGTTTTTTTGCCTTGAAGTGTGCATTTAAAATTGTACAGTCCAAAAATGACTTACCTGACCTTTCTAATTGTTTTTAGACCAGATTGCTCTTCCTGACTTCAGTGCTGGAGCTATGGAGAACTGGGGCCTGATCACCTACAGAGAGACTGCACTTTTATACAATCCTGGAGTGTCGTCAAATGGAGACAAGGAGTGGGTGGCAACTGTCATCGCCCACGAGCTGGCTCATATGGTATCACATTAAATAGTGTATTTTCTATCTCAAAAATTGTAAACATGTTTCGCTTGTAGTGTGTTAAAATGAAGCTCTGTCCTCTCAGTGGTTTGGCAACTTGGTGACCACGAGGTGGTGGAATGACTTGTGGCTTAATGAGGGGTTTGCCACCTACGTCTCTTATCTTGGAGCTGACTACGCTGAACCAACGTGGAATATGGTGAGTTTTCTTGTGAGGTCCTCAGAATGTTGATGTAAAAAAAAACTATTTAACATCTTTATTGGAACAGGTGTGATCCTGATGTTTAATAATGTGTCTTGTCATGCCGTATTGCAAAACACCAACATTTCACTGTGTAATTTCCAGAAAGATTTAATAGTCCTGAATGAGATCATCGGCGTGATGGGGGTGGATGCTTTGGCCTCCTCCCACCCGCTCTCATCCAAAGAGGAGGACATCCAGAGGCCAGAGCAAATCACTCAGCTGTTCGACTCCATTACATACAGCAAGGTGCAGTGTTACTGACAACGCATCACAAAAGTTTGATGTCACCTAAACAAGACAAAAACGAGTTAAAGTGTTCACATTTTGATGAGGGGCGACCCTCATCAAAGGCTCTTGACACTTTCTTTAAGAACTACAGAATTAAATTACAAATGAATCACTGCTCCTCATTAGGAGATTGCAATAATTCTGTCATGGCTGATTTGTCACCCACTAAAACTGCTAATATCCCTCTGTTTTTCATTACAGGGAGCTGCTGTCCTCAGGATGCTCTCAGAGTTTATCACTGAGGCCGTCTTTTCCCAAGGACTCCATGTGAGTACAGCTAAATAAAGTGACGATCGCCTGATATATATATGTGGTAAAATCGTCTACAAATCAACTGTTTTAATTTGTTAATATGGTCATATCACCATTTTATTTGCCTGCATATAACTTATTTTGTTCTCCACGCAAGTGCAAGAAGTATAACCACAACTTTGTTATCTGTCTGCAGACGTACTTAGAAGAGTTCAAGTATAAAAACACCGTCTACCAAGACCTGTGGAGGCATCTGCAAATGGTAAGATTGCAGCACAAACATGACTGTTTTCTTAAAAAATAAAAATGCTTTAGAAACTGTAAACATTGTGTTAATGTTTAATTTGACACAGGTTTTATGTAAAAATACTTATTAGTGCAGCTTTAACATCACATTTTGAAAAGAAGAAATTCCAATTTTTAAGTAGAATTTGTGAATAATTCAGCCTTGCTAAGTTTCATTCACTCAGGGGTTCTACAACTTAGCAAGACATTTGCTGATGGAAGCTGATGCTAGTCTTTTTAGTACGTTATAGCTCTTTTCTTGTGCTTCTGTAGCTATGATCTCAACCACCCTTCAAAAAACAGAAAATGTAATATTAAGCTGTCTGTTTATTGTGACTTGGCGATTAATGTTCGGCCTGTGGGATATGCCAGTTCTGAGATTAGATCACAGGTTAGGAGATGTGGTACCTTGAAGAAATACTGAAATATTAATGACGCACACTTCGAAAAAGGTGTCATAATATGTATTGCTGTTTACCGTCTGAACTGTGAGAGAGAATTCATCTGCTGGAGTGCTGGGGGCAAACAACGAGTTATGTTGTTACTGTTGCTAGGCAGTGGATAAGGCAGGCATTAAGCTGCCCCACCCTCTGGAGGAAATCATGAACCGGTGGATCCTACAAATGGGCTTGCCAGTGGTCACCATCAACACCCAGACTGGAGCAATCTCCCAGAAACACTTCCTGGTGGACCCAGACTCTGTGGTGGACCGACCCTCTGAGTACAAGTAGGATCCTGTTTTTGATGTTTCACGTGAACATATGTGTGTGTGTGGTTATATTCAACTCACCTGTCCTCTCGATATACTCTGTTTATCCAGTTACGAGTGGTTTGTCCCAGTTACCTACATTAAGACTGGTGCAGCTGAGCAACAGTACTGGCTTGTTCAAAAAGAAGGTAAGGTTTGTTTGAAGTCACTGTAATAGCAATGAACCGAATATGAAAAGATGCATTCATTTTAATCTCCATCCAAACAGCTACAAACAAAGACATGGCTCTTGGTGCTAATGATTGGTTGGTGGCCAACATAAATATGAAGGGCTTCTATAGAGTCAACTATGACGATGGCAACTGGGAACGTCTCCTGAACAAGCTGAACTCCCAACCGAAGGTACAACACCCGCAATACCTCTGCAGTGTTTCTAAATGACCGCTCATGCCTCCACACTCAGTGTCTTTGTTCACTTTTCAGGATATTCCAGTGATCAACCGGGCTCAGATTATCGACGACGCTTTTAACCTCGCAAGGTGAGGCCATATTTTTTTACACAGCATTGCTGCCAAATGCTAAAAGCCAAAGCTGACCAGTTGTATGGCTCATTTTCAGGGCAAGGATTGTGGATGTAACTCTGGCTCTGCGTACGACCAAATTCCTGGATAAAGAAGTCGAGTACATGCCTTGGGAGACAACCACGAGAAATTTAAATTATTTCTACCTCATGTTTGACCGCAGCGAAGTGTATGGACCCATGCAGGTCAGCAACAGATATCAGCATTCGTGATGGTGTTCAATAAATAAATTCAGATGCTGATTCCAAAATTAGCTGAGATAAAAAGTGTTAAACCCTCTGAACCCTAGAACCACATGACAAAACTTGATAGACTTTTGGGCTGAACTGCAGGCTGTGCTTACACAGAACAAATAGAGACAAGTATAAAGACAAATTAAAAAGTAAAAAAAAAGTAGCAAAACATCTGTAGCATGTTAGTAGTATGTCTTTTTTTTTTTTCCAGAATTGGTAACCCTTGTGGGAACTTGAATAGATGTACATGGTGTTTAAGTAACCATGTAATTAAGAATTTCAACTGTGCTTTTATTCTTTTGAATCATTTATGACATTATAACTGTGTGATACACGCCTGAGTTCTCTCTGCTTCTAGTCACGTGCTGTTTACATAGAGAAGCCAGACTTTATTGCAGTAAAATATGGGCCCACAGTGAGTAAAAATGTGACAAAAACGCACACAAACTGTTTGGGGTTCATCGGGTTAATGAGCACTGGTTAATCATAGAAGTAGAAATCAAAATCTAGTGTAACTCTTGTCCAATATTTCTGAACAGAAGTCCAAACTAACAAGCTGTTTCATCCTCATCCTCCAGGCGTACATCAAAAAGCAGGTCACTCCTCTGTTTGAACACTTCAGAGACATCACTCTCAACTGGACAAAGATCCCTGACGGTCACACCGACCAGTAAGCATTAAGGATTAACATGTTGTCTGTTTAAAATCTTCTCTCTTCTGAGCATGTAGTAGTTTATTTGTGCCTTTAAAAGTGACAAGCAGAGCCTTTCTTGTTGTTAAAAAATGCATGTTGTTGAAGTATTTATTGTACTGACGCACAGTGCTAAGATCGTGGCTCGAGGGGCGTCTCCATGTCGGAGAAGTTTTCTAAAGGATAATTCCCAAAAAGTCAAATTAAAACCTTTTTTATGATTGACAACTTTCATTACTGTAAACCACAGTAGGCCATATCCCTGTAGAATATTACAGCTTAGGCCATATGAAACTTTAATGATCCCTATGGAGAAATGTGTGATTTGCAAAAAAAAACAAAAAACATCCTCTCTTGCAAAACACAGATTCCTCCCAAGCAGTACCTTACATAACCTTCTCCAGACTGTCTCCGTGTTTTCAGTATCTCCCTAATGTGTTCACTCCAATATGCCGTTATCTTGATAGAAAAATATTATTTCTCCCTGGTCTGTATTTACTTCTTTGCTTTCTTTCTCACTCCTGCATGGCTGTCAAAAACTCACACTTTCAGTTGTGGGCTTCTTTCTTTTTTCTTGGAGATGTTTTTGGCATTTTTGCTTTTATTGAACAGCAGCAATACAGATACAAATTGAAACTGGGGGAAGTCTATGTCATATAGGACAGTAGCGAGTGGACAATTGTGGGTTTTGCTTGATACCAAATGAGCTAAATGACTTTGTCTGCCCCAAAATACCTTTCGATTAATCCCACTGACTTTCCCTGCCTCTTCGTCATGAAGCTGTAGCTTTTAGTGATCGCCATGAAACTGGATACAGACATCAGGGGTGTTCAGATAATGAATCCCAATTAATAATAATTGATATAACTCCCTGAATTTTCCTCAACATTTGTGTTTTTGAGTGAAATGTATACACAATTTGGCCTATTGAGCTTCCCATCTTGCATCATCAAATACCATTTTTGCTTTGTCCAGTACATTGGTTCATGACTCAATCCCTGCAATGATCAGGTTGACTGTACTTTGTGTTTATTTCTGATCAGTAACAAACTCCCAACCTCTCAAACGTGATACCTGCTAAAACATCAGCATGTTAGCGTTGTCATGTAGCTTCAGAGAGTGGCTGCGAGCATGACTGTTAGGTCTAACGGACCAAAAATTTTGTCCTCTGTTTCTTCCTAAACACTTTTTCTTGACCTCAATGAAAAAGGTCATGAGGTCAAGAGAAGCTGTGAAGGAGAATCTTTGAAGATAAAGGAAAAGACAGCGAAGACAATCGGACTACACTTGCACTAGGCTATGTGAACACATGATGGTGGATGTTGTTGACATGGGTCTGTCTTAGATGGTGCATCACTTTAAATGTTGCTGCTGCAGTTTATTATGAAATGACATTATCTCCTTTCTTTTTATAAACAATGATTCGGTGTAACTGCTGCTAAAGGAGATACAAAAGGAAACACCAAGGCACCTTTCCTTAGCATCCAAATAATCCATCCAGCTCTTATCATGTCTACCTCTCAGTTGTTTCACTCCGTTAAGAACCTTTCTAGGAAGTCTGTTCAGTTGCAACCTTAGTCTTGTGTGGTTGTGTTTCATTTTAATGGACTGCTTTGTTAGTGTGATCCTTCTCCTAACCACTGAACTGTCCCTGTCCAGGTACAATCAGGTGAATGCAATCTCCTTGGCCTGCAGCACAGGAGTGCAAGGCTGCAGAGAGCTGACTACTAAGTGGTTCAAAGAGTGGATGGCAAACCCAGCCGACAACAAGTAAAGTCTTATTGATAGCAATACTGCCATTATTATGAAACTCTTTACTTTGCCTTCCATTACTGTTTGACATTTTCCCTCCTGACCTCATTGATTCTGCTCCTGTCATCACCTCAACTCTTTCCCTCTTCTATCAAACCTCACAGAATTAATGTCAACTTGAAGACCACAGTGTACTGCAACGCCATCGCAGCAGGAGGTGTGGAGGAGTGGGACTTTGCATGGGCCATGTTTAAGAATGCTACCATCGCCTCAGAAGCTGAGAAAATTATGTATGCTCTGTCTTGCACCAGACAGCCCTGGCTGCTGAACAGGTCAGTACACCATGCTGGATAATGGCTGCTGTCTAATTTTGCTCTCCTTGAGGTCACTTTGCACCCTGCGGCATGCTTTGAGATGAATAAACAAAGGTGTTTTGATGGTGCATGTTCCAGGTATCTGGAGTATTGTCTGGACCCAGATAAAATCCGCAAGCAGGATGCCACCGCTACCATTAACTACATTGCTGATAATGCCGTCGGTCAACCTTTGGCGTGGGACTTTATCAGAGCCCAGTGGGACCACATATTCAACGAGTGAGTTTTCTTCTTTTTCACATGTTAGCTAGATGTGCTGTATAGTTGTGCTGTGTATTTCAGCTAACAGGGGGAAGTGCCACTGTCAGGAAACTCTAATTAGAAATGTATGCTTTTATGATGTCTTAAGGAAGTTTAGATCAAAGTTGATTTTTTTTCCTTTTTTTCCTCAGCTATGGTGGTGGATCAATGTCCTTTGGAAGACTGATTTCTGGAGTGACCGAACGTTTCTCCACTGAGTTTGATTACAATCAGGTACAGTTTCAGTGAACCGGTTGAATGAATTTTGCAGTAACAACACTGATACTTATAGTTAAAAGTAGTGCATATGAGTATTTCTGTGTGAATTAAATGCCAATCATTTTCACCTCCAGCTGCTGCAGTTCAAAGAAGACAATGCCGATCAGCTGGGCTCAGCAGCCACGTCCTTTGAGCAGGCACTGGAGAGAACCAAGGCCAACATTAACTGGGTGGCCCTGAACAAGAAACCGGTGCTTGACTGGTTCAACAGTGAAACCTCTCCTGCAGTTTAACAACCCAAACATTCGTCCCAGTACACAGTTTTCAAATGTACTGTAATTTGCTCTACGAAGCTTTACTCCAACTGCAGGCTTCTAAACTTGTATGTATATTCTAATTGTAATGGAGATTTTTTTAATGTAAAGTTTTGATAAAATATTTTTATTGTTAAAGATTATTTGATACCAGTTTTATATGTGGAAAACGTGTTATATGCTGCATGAACTGAATGAAAATCGCGGAAAAAAAAAGAAAGTGAAATTGTGTGCTCACCAATATTTTTACATCCTTTGAGGATGCAAATGTAAATAAAATAAAATTAATAAATAAATAGTAAAAATTGTCACACTTTTTTTCTGGGTTGACATTTCAAAAGAATTGAACACACACCACCCTGTAGTCGAGTTTTTAGGGTACAAACGACATGATTGCAAATTCATTCGGCAGTGAGTAGAAAAAAAGACCATTGAAATGCAAAATGTCACACTTCAAAAAACTTTACAAAAACAAAAATGTAGTTGCTACAGACATCAATAAAACATCAATTTACAGGAAGACAACCATCCCCGGTCACTAACACACCGTACACTGACATAGTTCTGGGTCATGTATAAATCCAAACATCCTAATGAAGAAAAAAACAATATATTTAACAGACTTTTTAGTCAAGTCTCTGAGCTGAATCCAAACCCAAATATTCATTTGTTTCATGGGTTTTTTCACAAGCGCAACCATCAGTGATGTTTACACAGGACAGAAGAGGTGGTGACTGACTGATCCAACTTCAGCTGCTTCTCTTCTCAGTGGGGGTCTTTCCCTAAAGACTTTAGAGGGGATGTGCTCCCTGTTTAGCACCTCATTGTCCTGCTGACAGCTGCTCTGTTTACCTAAGGAAGTGGAGGCCAAGCACTGAGTCTGCAGGGTCTCATCTGTGTAGATTGTGAAATTTAAGATAAATGCACAAACAAGCCAACAAGGGTTATTATGATAAATAAAGTTTATTCTGCTCACGGAATGAAAATGTAATAAATACACAGTTCTATATACAAAAAGACAAAAATGATTGAATGCAAATAGAAACTTTGTTCAAAATAACAAAAATGAGAAGTTTTGTCCATAAATTTTGTTAGAGGTCATTGTTGCAATGAAAATCGTTGAGTGGATCGATGGCCACATCTCAGCACTGTCCAGAGAAGGTGACATTCTGGCCTTGTTGTTGCTGCTGCAGCATCCAGTACTGCTCGCTGTTGAAGCAATCTTCACCTGAAACCTGACAACAGAAACAAAGTTTGATGAGGAACTCATTCATCTTTAATGTTCTGGACAACTATTGTAAATAATGTGAAGAAAAAAGTCTACTGTGAAGCAAATCTTCTATTAAAAGCTGGACATGTTTTTAAATAATGTGAACATACCTGGTATGTATGCTGCAGGTAGGGCAGCTGGGCTGTGCTCATGCTGTTACAGCCGGATTCCTGTGTCCTGTAGCTGGCTGTTGGTTGATCCAGGAACTGACTGAGGGTTTGATTCTGCTTTACGACGACTGAGGTTCTCCTCTGCTCCAGCACTTCTTCGCTGAGTCCCAGCTGGGCCGACAGGTAGGAGATGTAGCGGATGGTGAGACGGAGGGTCTCGATCTTGGTCAGGGTCTGTGCAGCTGGTGCCACTGAGGGTGGGAGGTAGGACCTGAGATGATGCAGAGCCTTGGTCAGGTCCCTCATCCTCAGCTTCTCCCTCTCGCTAGCAGTCTGGCGCTTCTTTCCTGGATATCTAGATCTGGACTTCTTTATAGCAGAGGTGGTTGCTGTGGATGGTCTGGAGCAGAGCAGAGCCTGTGTCTGTTGGGTAAGTTGAGGCAGTGCAGGGCTGCTGAAGAGGAAACAGTCCAAGGCATCTTGCTCATTTCCCACAGCCTGGAGGGAGGTGGGGGAGAAGCAGAAGGAGTCCACAGAGGAGGTGGGAGACAGGCTGCTGCAAGCGCTGACGTAACCAGGGTCCGAGGTCGGCTCATAAGCCAGAGACTTGTTGAGCAGGGACTCACATTCAAAGAGGAAAGAGTTCCCCTGGATCTCCATAGCTGCTGTATGTAGGATGTAGGTTCTTTCCTGAGCAGAGAGCAGTCAGTGTGTTACTAATGAGGCAGGCAGAAGATAGTGAGGAGGGACAGGGAGGCTGCTCCATATATGTGGTGGGAGGTGCGAGGTTGCACCTCTGAGAGCCACGTCTGGTCCTGAGAAGCTCTGGGTGCAGGGTGACACCTCGGCCAGGGGGTCTCATGGGAACCAGGCATGCGCCAGGACAAGGTGTGACCTGACAGCTCACATGGGCATTATAAACCGAACAAATTCACACTAAATGCTCCTGCAGCCTGGGAACGTGATCCTACCATGACATAGGTTGAACCTGGGTCACAGACCTAAATCCGAACCTGAGTTTTTTTTTATTAGAAATGCTGTATGTCATTGACTCTGATAACAAGCGATCAAAATACTTGTTCCAAAGAATTCCACTTAGTACACACAAACGTTCACAGCATCATTTTTATTTTAGTTTTTTTATGAATGGTTGATGAACGAAGGACTGCAGGGTGGTGCAGTTGGTAGCACTGTTGCCTCACAGCAAGAAGGTCGACGGTTCGCGGGATCTTTCTGCATGAAGTTTGCATGTTCTCCCCATGTATAGATAATGGATGGATGGATGACTGAATGGAAGAATAAGTGAATGCTGTTTATTGAGACACTGAAAATGATGTGGCATTAGTGCCATTGTTTTCTTGTGTCCTGATATTGGATTCCTTGCAAGGAAGCTGGAAGAAGTGTGCCGGGGGCAGCTGTGAGGTGTGAGGAGTTTGCACTTCGAGCTGTTTGGACAGCAGCAGACCTCACTGCCCTGGGAGCCTGGATGGAAACATGTGCAGTCGCAACAGCTACTGCTGGGCACATACCTACAATAGATTAAGAATTCACATGCAAAAACTGAATGACTGTATGCACTTCATCTCAAGTTATAGCATGCACACGGGAGCATATTTTTCTGTTTGTAGCTTTACAGTTCAATTTAAAACAACAGAAAGTAAATTTACTACGTCAACATACACAAGAGGTTATGGAAAATATAATGTTGGGATTCTATCTTCTTACTATATCACAAATACAATATGGAACCTTTACATGATCACAGGATCCCTCTCAAGCCCATTGGTGGGTTTTGTTTTCTCTCATTCTGTGGATGAGAGTCCTGAGCAGCGTTCCCACAAACCACCGCGTCATATTTGTCTCCTGCTCTGCTGCAGAGGTGAAACCTATGAGCAGCACGTGTGAAGCAGTCCCGCACAGCCTTCCACCACCTCACTTATGCAAGAAAAACAGACATCTGAATTCAGGTAAACATCCAAAGCAAGGACACAATTCCTCTGACGAAGTTACATTCCAAACTGACTTTGCTGTAGCTTTGGTTTAATATATAAATATATTTGTATATATATATATTTTATTTTACCAAAATGTCTGAGGTGGCACTAATCTTGACAGCTGTCTTAGAGACTACTTCCACAGTGACCTCTGACCCTCCGACATCATTACGTGACCCAACATCACATGAGTCACTATAAACAACAACTTAACATTCATAGTTCTGTTGCTCCCGGTAGCAGCCTGCTTTGTTATGTATGTATAACTGACCTGCTTCTCTCCAACATAAATGTTTATTGTTCAATACAAGCACTCAAAAATGAAGCATCTATCATCTGATAAAGAGTGACACTGGAATAAAATGGCTCATAGCACTTATTATTATTATTTATGTGATATAATTAACTATTTAATTGACTATGTTTGCAGGTTTTATATCTGCAAACACGAGGACAATGAGGACAAGACATAACACAATCTTTAGAATTTTCTGTTAAATACGTATTTCGTTTTATGAACGTATATGTTATTATATATAGTAAATTCCTTCAACTCCAAATCTGTTTCAACTTACATTTACTAATATATTTTCCATTCTAAACTTCTGCAGACTTTCCCCAGCTGTCAACTTTCCTCTTCCCTTCCAGACTGATGGGAGAGAGGATCTTCCTTCTCTTAATCCACATTAGCTCTGACAGTGTTTACTCACATGTAATGAGTGAATAATCAGCATTGCAGTGTTAACCCTTTCATCCCGAACCCCTTCGGCCCAAAGAGTTTATTAGCTTTACTGCGATGAAAGACCTAAGTGAGTGTATTAGGCTTTGTGCTGGGCCTGCTGCTTGCATATCAAATGAACTGCATGTATGTGGCAAACTAAACACTCAGACCTAATTCCCTGGCCTGATATGCAGATCCACACTTCTCTATGAATATTAAAGTCCTCTCAGTTGACTTTAGCAGGTAATTAGGGCAGGACGCGAGAGAAAGATGGAAGGAGCAGGGAGGTGTTCCAGTCTAGACTTAGCGGTGCCAAGGATCTCTGTGTGTTTGCAGTGGCCCATTAACAAAGATACACTAAATAAACTAGATAACCTGCAGCTGAGGCTGATCTCTGCTCTGATGTGGAACCAGTCTCAGAGGCCACAACAGAGAAATCGCTGTAATTTTACTGGAAAGGCCTGTGGTACCCATGTGGCTGCATCCTACCCTAAAGATATTTGACCAAGTGAGATTATTTAGTGATATACAGATGGAATTATGGGAGGGCTCTCTGTGCCAAATGTCAGCACAATTATTAAACATGTTTCACACATGAGGATGAACATGTTGTTATTTAAATATAATGTGTGTTAATGTAAAATATTGTGAACAAAAGATATTAGATTTGAAATGTTGTGATTTGAAATAATGTAAAGACAATAATTGTGATATAAAAATAACCTAAATACCGTTATGATATGATATAATATGATATGAAATGATATGATGTGATATGATATTAGATGAGATTAGATTAGATTTCTTCTTTTGAAACAACAATACATTTGAATAACATACAGTCATCCTTATGCACTGAAAGATAGTGTGTTTTATGTTTTGTTTTATATATATTTTTAAATGTATTTTCTGGTTAGTTTGTTTAATGGGGACAGAGCTGTTTTTGCATCTGTAGCACCCAGGAAGTTGTTACACCCTCAAATCAGAATATGAAATAAATTGAGATCATTCATGCACTTGCAGAACAGCTGGAAAATATATAATATTAATGTTAATAAGAATCATTCAGACCGCCCTTATACTAGAGGTACAACACAGTATATAGCATACAACACAGAGCCTCATAATACAAAATGTGCCAAACAGTAAAATGAGAGATATTAATGTGAACAGAAATACAGACTAAATAACACCGCTCTGTGCCTGTGCTGTATCATTGTTAGACACTAAAAACATGAAACACAGAAGTACAGACAGAAAGATATGCACAATGTATAAAATACATGAATTGTCTGACACAATAAAAGCAAAAGCAAAATACAAAAGTATAAATGTGCAGGTACATGAGGGAAGAATGGCAATAGCAAGAGAATGATAGATGACAGCAGACAGCGAGGGAGGTTCAGCACAGATAGACTGGAGACAATAAAATGTGATCATTTTAATGCTGACGGCGATTCAAGGATTAAAGGTTCTTTATTGTCACACCAGTACACATAACCACATGAGATGGCACGAAATCAGTACTTGAATCCTGGCTATAAGCCAATAGAAATAAATAAAAATATTGAAAAGAGAGAGAGAGCGAGCAAGAGAGATGAGTTTATATTAAACATTTTTCTAAATAAATTTTAAACAAACAGTATGTGACCAGTTATCTAACAGCTGATGGGATGTGGTCATATCCTAGTGCAGCTTTAACAGAAAAACCAGAATGTGTTTGTTGTGGTGCAAAAATCCATAACTGGCCGGTATGAAGAGGAGGAGTGATTACAGCAAGAAAATGGTTGTTTTAAGGATTAGATGGGTCCTGGGTTATTTGTTTAAGACAGACTTTATAAAGAGTGAAGCTCTTCTTTAACAAACTTGCAGCTACTTGAGATGAGACAAATGAATGAAACATACTTCTTATTATGCCACTGATCTTGTTTCACCAGCAGAGGGCACCATGCTGCATTTTTTCCAGAGCATTACCTACAATATGCCTCCTATTTTTTCACGTTGTTGACAACAGCAGCTTGTCAGAATAAAGATAAAGTGCCTTGCTCAAGAATGCATTCAAAGCATATTGAAAAACTCACTCCAATATGTTTGTTTGGGGATTTGAACCAGACACTTTCCTGTGATCAGTCCCAAGTCCACACTTTACTACCTGTCTGAGCAGCGAAGGACAGAAACTGAAGTGCGTCATGAGAGGGAGGCTTTGAATGAGGACAAGACATGACACATTTTAAAAGTTTATTATAAATAGTGGTATAAAGAAATATAAAAATAGCTGTTAGACATGTCAATATTTACACAGAACATTTCATAGGACAAAATAAATAAAAGGTAGAATAAGATATATATTTCAAATAAATTACTCGATTCACAGTGAGGCAGTAAAAACAGTGAAGTAGTTTGTGTCTGTTGTTGGATGATGATCAGGTGTTGTCGCAGCGTTTAGCCCCAGTACTCTCTCTGAGCCAGGGGGATGCAGAAGTCTTTGCCGCACATCTGTTTAAAAAAAAAGTGCAAGAGATGTGTTAGTACTGTGCAAAAAGATGTAAGTCATTTCTTAAACAGAGAATCTTCAAATAATGTGAACCAGAATTTGTTGACAAACCTGACAGGAGGGCTGCGAGGCTGGAGGCGACTGCAGGATGGCGTCCATGCTCATGTCTCTCTGAGGAGCTTCGCTGTACTGTCTGCTGTACTGATCCACTCCAAAACTGCAGTTCCCAGAATGCAGCAGGGTGCTCTGGCCGTAACACTGGGTCGGGTACAGGCTCTGGTTCAGGTTCTGGCTCTGCATCTGGCTCTCCTGTCCTCCTGTGGAAGCGTTCTGGAAGTAGCTGAGGATGTCGGGTGAGGAGGCGTCACTGGCTGACGTGTCTCCCTGTTCCCGCCTCTGAAACAGCACCTCCTCGCTGAGGCCCAGCTGGGCCGACAGGTAGGAGATGTAGCGGATGGTAAGGCGGAGGGTCTCGATCTTGGTCAGGGTCTGTCCAGCGGGGGCCACTGAGGGTGGGAGGTAGGATCTGAGGTGATGCAGAGCCTTGGTCAGATCCCTCATCCTCAGCTTCTCCTTCTCGCTGGCGCTCTCCCTCTGCTTGCTTCTGATCCGGGGGGCTCGGCCCGTCTTGCGGCCTCGTCCAGACAGGGAACAGGGCGAGGACTTGAAGCTTTGGGAATATCCAGTCTTAGCTGCCTTAGGAGTGGACTGTGGGGGCTGCTGGTAGGAAGGAGAGAGGCTGGAGTCCATGGAGTGGACAGGGGAGAGGGTCTCTGGAGAGGACATGCTGGAGAAGTCCGAGTCGGAGCACCACTGGTACTGCAGGCTGTAGTCGAGAAGAGGGACCGAGGAGGTATCCATGTTGAGGAGGGACTCAAAGGTTCTGACTGGAGAGACTGGGAAGCTGTGAGTGCTGCTCAGCTCTGTTCCACTGGTTTATAAGTCCAGGCCAGGCCACAGAGGTGTGAAGTGACACCTCCGCAGATTCTCACAAACAATCACTGTCTAAAGCAGAGGCCCCCTGAACACACACCCCATCGGTGGGTAGCTCTCCCTCTGCCCCGGCTCTGCCTCTCCTCTGAGTCTGGGAAAGTTCAGCTACAGGAGCACAAGTGTGAATTTTGACTCCTGCAGAAAACAATAAACAGTTTTTGCTTCGTTGGGGTTTTGTCCCTGCAGCAGGCCAGATGCATTTTACACATGTTTAAGGGATTTGTTTTCAATGATCTGGTTTCTCATGCATTCACTTTTTAAAACACACACAGACACACACTCACAAAATATGGTCAGCAAACTGAACAACATAACAAGAAAGTGTGAAGAAGATAACAAAACAGGAATGACATGGAAAAAGGCTCCTGTATGCTGAAAGAATTTTAGTAGCTACAGCTTTGACATGTGATTTAGAAGACTTGCACATATACTTCACATTATTCTGCATACATCATAGTAACTCTACCACCATGTTTATCAGAAAGATTCTATACTTTAATACTCAATCTGAAATGTTTTGCGTGTGGGACTTATCAAGGATTTTGCATCTATAATCATGTGTGCTGCTTCTACTGGTGATTGTGTAACTTTTTCAATCAATTAATGACAAAGCTTGCAAAACTAATTACATTTCCATCTGCCTAATCCACATTTTTCTAATGCTGATCATCAAAATTTAGCTTGCTCGTATACACATTCCCACAGCTTTGTACAGACGAAAACATTTGTAAATCTAGTATTACTGGTAACGTGTTTAACACATTATCTCCCTAATGTGAGTATGTCAGTGTTGAAATGATGTTAGCGATCTGAATTCTGGTGTCTGGATTGTGCCACCATGAAATCCCCAAAGTCCTGATGTCATGGCCAGTTTGCAGCTGAATTCATGTTTCATTGGTGGAAAAAACTGCCAGATGAGCACAGCTACCAGACTAGGGGGTTGGAGATTGAATTTTGGATTCTGAGCCACTTTTTGTGATTGTATTGAACACCAGCCTTTAATCTTAAGTAAAAAAAGAAAAAACTTGAATGGTTTGCGGTTGAGAAATGTGATCAATAAGACTGATTTGTGTACACTAGGTGAACAGTGAACATGCTGCTTTAACAGACACTGAAGCTACTTGAAATAAAAAATGCTTTTTTGTATGGTACGACTAATACAGTAACACATAGTGCTTTACATTAATAAAAGAATTTTTAAAAATGAATAAATAAAGTAATCGTGATAAAGCATGAGACAATAAAACGCAATGAAACACAACACTTCATGATAAATGTACAAAAAATAGGCCTGGTGCCAGTAGATTACACACAACTATAACTACATAAATGCAAGCCTAAAATGATCTCTATCTTCGGAATCAGAAAAAAGAATATTCCAGAATCGAGGGCCAATGACACAGAATGCTGCGTCTCTGTACATCTTCGTTCTACTAGAGTTAGAGGGTCTTAGAAATGGAGAAGGGTCATGCCAAACCAACATATCAAATAAACGATAAGGAGCCCAGTAACATATTCAAAAACTAAAAAAAAAAAAAAAAAAATCTTTAAAAAAATTCTAACATGAAGCCAGTGAAGAGCCTTTAAAGCTGGAGTAATGAGCTGTCTAGATTTAAGTCTTGGTGAGAAGCTGTGCTGCTGCAGTTTGGATCATCTGAACTTAAAGATTTCTTTAGAAGAGCAGAAAACAGAGCATTACAACAGTCAATTCTGCGAGGGGAAAAAAAATGAATAAGTCATGTGAACGTCTTCAAAGTCAGCAGATTTCTTCTTATTAGGAGAGCACAGATGATAAATGAAGCTCACTGGAGGTCAATTGAGGTTGAAGGACCCTCTCCTGTGTCCTATTTCTCACCTCACTCCAACCTTGAACCTGAGATCAGGAGCTTCTCTTGATCTGCTCCACTTCACATCCCACCATTTCTCACCAGCACAATCACGTTCTAGTCACAGCAAGTCAGGCGTGAGCTGCCATCATTCTCTTTCTTTAACTCAATCATGGAAGTGAACTTCACTGTACTGCTGCTCCAGTTTGATGTGCTTCTGAGGAGAAAACTCACTTTAAGTCCTAGATGGCTTAAATGTAAATGTAAATGTAATGAGGTTTAATGAGGCTTAATGAACCTGGGCTATCCAGTTAGAGCAGAGGTGTGATGGTTTCACACTGATGAGAACTGATGAGTCTGAAGGTGTCACTTCACACTTCAGCTGTGAGAACCAGGAATGCTGCAAAACCCTGGTAACCTCTGCGTCCCCATCTCGTCCCTCTTTCCCCTGTGAAAGGCCTTTAACGACAGATTCGTTTAGACATAAAGAAGCATATAGACAGAAATAGTGATGTAATTTTCAGATTGTGTCAGTTTTACACCATGATAATAAATCACATTATGATACTTTAATGCAGACAGCATTGAATTTGGGTTTTATTTTTGTCAAATTAGAACCTTAGAGACAGGATATTTTGCATTTGGGTGAATAAAAAGTCTTCCTCAAATGTGTACAGTCATTTGAAAAACCACCATGTTCACTGGGCGAACGCTGAGTCAGTGCATTTCTGCTTTCCGCTGTATTTTCTCCATCCGTTCTGACTGCACACAGCTTTTCTGAGCTATGAGGCAATTTGTCTTTCCTGTTATTTATCATGTTTTGTTTGTCTTTGTTGAACTCTGCTGTTTATTAAATCATCTATTAAACATTAAACCTGTCATGAATGCCAACCCTATTTAACACAGTGGATAATTCTGTTTTCGCAGGTTGGCTCTGTATCAAAGGTTGATTCTCCCTGATGGAGAACTGGCTTGCAATTATACAGATAATTGGAAAAAAAAAAAAAAAAAAACTCCATGAAATGAAAAGATGAAAGACTTTACTGGCTAAAATGCTGATTAGCTTGCTGGTAATAGAGAGTGTCCCTCAGCTTGGAGCCCATTTATAGTTCCTTTGACCAGAAAACAGACGCTGCCGGTTCCAAGGGCTCTAAAATATGATGAGCAGTATGAACAGTGGGAGGTGTTCGGGTGAACAAGGTGCATGATGGATACTGAAGATGAAATATGTGACTGTCTAAACACTGGTGGAAAGGTGTGTGCTGTGTCAGGCTGAGGGCAGGCAGGGTGAACTGGGGTTGAACCCACCGCTCGACCCTGCCGCTCACCCTGACCGAGGTGAGGCTGTGGGAGCCTGGCTGGGAGTTTGGCACCTCTGGGTGGATGCCCACCCACAGCAGGCTCAGAGGCTGGGCTGCCTGCCACCTGTCTGGGCCTCTCGTGTCCATCAACCCCAACACGACCTCCAGTGTGCTCCCTCTGCCTGGAATAAAATCGAATTAGACACTGTTTAAATCATCCACGTAGGGGAATCGTGATACAGTGAGTTAGGAATTTGCAAAAGTTGACAGAAGTAGAAAAAGAAAATCTGGTATAACTGGTGAGTGAATAAGATTAAAATCTGAATATAAAAAAAAGATCATTTGTAAAAAAGGAATGTGTATATATAACAAAGGAAGTGCTTTATTTCTGACTTTATCTCCATGGTTCTTCTATTGGGAACTCATTACAGCAGCAACAGTGAGAAAACTCCTTGTATTGAATACCTCGGTGCGGCTTGCTTGGTGAGGTACAGTGAGTACTGTACATCAGGATTATTGAGGATTTCATGAGTTTTGTAGTAGCATAGCTTAGACGAACTCGAGTTCAGCAGATATTGTTAGTGAAGCTACCAATTATATGGTGTGAAAGAAAGGATTTGTGTTCTCTTGAGGGTAGCTTTCCTGTGGTTTTTCCTGGAAACAACAAATAGCTTGAAGAAAAACTGCTCATGGATGTCTGTAATACTGCTGGATACACAAAGGACAGTTTAAAGAAAAGGATCAAAATCGATGCAGCAAAAGCAGAGGTGTCATGTTTTTTATTCCATTCATTCTTCTTCTTCAGTCTCAATACCTATTGACTAAATTACCCACAATGCAGCTCAACCACAGACAGTTTGCTCAGAGATTTTGCCCATAATGTGGCGACTATACATAATTAAAAAGAATGAAATAAGACTTCATTGGAGCTACAATTTAGGTGAGTTTGTTTCTAATAAGCATGACAGAGAATGTGAAGGTGCGATGTGGTGTGTTGGATAAGAGACCCACTCTGGTACTTGTGACCGACTCTGTCTGCAAAAATGAGGTTCTGACACAACTAGACTGTATTGTCACTTGTGCTTTGGAAGAAGCACATTTTAACCCCAACATTTGAGACTGTGATGGAGTAGGAAAGTCCACGTAAGGATGTAGGAAGAGACGCTTATGGTATACGACCCAGCAGATTGGTGTTAGCTTTCTACATGGGAAAGTTCTTCTTAGATTTAAGTATGTTGATTGGTTGGGTTTAGATGCCAAAACTACATGGTTACGTTTCCAAAAATATCACACGTTGGTTGACATGTTCACAATGATAGCTACTTTTCAGAAGCTTGATTAAGTTTGGGCAACAAGATAACGTGGTTAGATTTAGGAAAATAGCCCACTTTGGGTCAAAACACAGTCCTTTCACAATGTTTCACGAGCTTGTCCTCCATTTTGTGGGCTAAAAGGGGGATGACTCCTAGTATCTGATTATCTGGCTGGAAAAGAGAGACAGCAAAGCAATGAAATAAATGACAGAGATCTGATGACTAGAAAAGTATTTGTCTCCCAAATCACAACTGAGAGTGCAGTTGGATATACAGGAACGTCAGAGAGAGGTAGACTGGACTGCTGTGGTTGTTACACTGGTTTCCTGTTTACCTTTTGTTTTGTTTGGCTAAAAAAGCAGTTTAAATTGATTTAATGTAATATAATAAAGAGAAGGAAAAGAGAGCAGAGAAACTGAATCTTGATG